GTTTTATAAAAAAATAATTTAATAAACAAAACGCAGTATAAATAAATATACTGCATGTATAAAAAAACACGTGGCTCGACAGGCAATACTTTTATGAATCTAATTTCGTAAAATTGATCTCAGATTTATACAATTAACTCCCCCACTGCACGGAACGACCCGCGGGTATACCAAATTTACCACATTGTATATTTAATTAATTAATCTTTATATAATAATAATAATTGATAATAATTCTTTTAAGAGCTTTGTGTTCCTCTGTATCTTTGTAAATGTATCTTTTTAGTTGTAAGCCGGTAACTTCTGTAACTTTACGTGTTACCAACAAAATGAAGTGAATAATTACCAAAATACCGCGCCATTTTGAATAATTACCAACTGTCAAATGTAATGTCAATTATTGTTAACACAAAAAATGGGGTGTTAAGTTTAGAAATCAATGGAATTTATAGTGTGTCTATACAATAAAATATATACAAACAGCAATAATGAAATAAATATAGGATGATTTGTTATTTATCACATTTTAAAACTTCTGCATGCATTTCCTTCTATGTACCGTAGTAAAATTAAAATGTAAATGATTTGTATTTTTGTAAATATAAAAGTTAAGTTTGTTACCTGTTATCGTGTTGTTAAGGACAGTTTCTGAACGTGAAATCCATTTGGAGTGCTCCTAGTCCTTTTTATCTGATTTTTTAGCATATACTTTACTGTGTACATTTTTTTTTGTAAACTCTGAATAGATTTCACTCATGGTCGATTACTGTAGGACACTGTCATTATTGAAAATTTTTGTTTTATTTTAATTATGTGTAAATATTAAGCTTTGTATTGGGCGTTTTATTATTTCTTATCTAACGCACACAGACATAATAACTCATATTCAACTATTCTTCCTAAACTCCGTTTATTTACATTTTTCAACTGGACACCTTTTCTTTATAAAGACCGGACCATATCAATGCAACCAGCATAATATACATAGTTACATACATACCTACATAGCTACATATATTTATCGTGCGTTAGATGAGCAAAAAACAGTCGACGGCAAAAATCGATTTCGAATTTCAAAAATCGAACGCAAAATTTATATCCACACATAAATTAATATATTCTTTTTTTTTCGATATAATGGAATCCATTTCTGTCGCCGATTACGATTTTCTCTCGATTTCATTTCTCGACCGAGAGCAAAGAGATTGTCAAATAAATATGTTATAATATTGCTTCCCTAAGGTGCCTTACCTACTCTATAGTAAATAATAGGTGCAAGTAAATAAAATACTCCATTATGTAATAAATATATCAACAGTCTATGTAAATATAATGTATGTGTATAAATAAATGAATAAAATGAAATTATTTTATTACTGGATCTTTGTTGTTTTTATTCAAACGCAGTTTGTTGAATTGTGAATGGGCTTATTTATAAAATCTCTAACTAATTCGGCCTGCTACGAATATTTTTCAGTGACAGGCAAACTTAGGATTGGTCTTGTCTAACCTGAAATCTAGAAGATATAGCTTAAAAAATAAGAAAGTTTTCGTAACCATTTAGAAAAATGTTCCCGTAAAGACATTTTGGTGATTGAGAGATATGGCTGAAATAATGAAAGTGAAAAACTCGGGTTGATATTCGATACACTAACTCTTGATAGATTTAGTGAAAAAATAGCTTACAAAACATGGTATTGTCGGAATCAGATTAAAAATAGATCACCTGCCACACAGAAAACAATCTGATAAAACATTTCAATAAATAAAGAGGGGGAAACTTTGTACCTATTAAAAAAAGAAAGGAAACTCAGGTGCCGAGTTCGCATAAAAAATATGAAAAACAACTACCTATGACTAACAATTACTTATCCTGAGCAGTGCAGAGGTGCTTAAGGGAAAAGCACCTCTGCATAAAATGAAATCTGGTTCAGGACCATATATACTCTATTACTAATTAATGGTATCAATGGAAAAAATGAATATGAGTCGGGCTTTGAATTTAACCCACACCCACCGTATTCTCCATACCTGACCCTTACTCTGTGGTCATTTGCAGACCTTAAGTTTTTTTTTGATGGGGATTGATGATGGCGGAGAACGCTGTTATTGTTTCAATGCAATTTTCATTGCAATTCCTGCCGATGCATGACTCCTACACGTGAAAAAAAAGTGCTGCAAGCAAGAGAGTTTTCGAGAAAACTCTCTTGCTTGCAGCACTTTTTAAAACCCATTTTATTTTACCCATGGACTATTTTAAAGGACGCGAGACATCGTCCTAAAAACACACTACAGAAGAATTTTAAAAATCTCTGGATTAATAAATTCGACTTGGTGTTGCCATACAAGGAGACTAAGACTACCAACACATAACAAAAACACAATATTGCAAAAAAAATAGGTACTTAGTGTTTAATCTTGGGACTTATTGAGTCTAAGTGTGAGAGAGCCATGCTTCGGCACGAATGGGTCGGCTCGACCGGAGTGATACCACGGCCTCATAGAATACCGGCGTGAAACAACTCACAGCGTTGTGTTTCGCCGTATGAGTGACCCAATCCCTCTCCTTCCCCTATCCCTTCCCGATCCTTATATCCGCAACTCCTAACCCTAAAAGGCCGGCAACGCACTTGTAACTCCTTTGGTGTTGCGGGTGTCCATGGGCGTCTGCTCGTTTGCCGACTTATAGGTACCATAAAAAAATGACATCAATACAATGATGTATAAAACTATAGATACGTTGTCCGCGCTCTAAAATGACAACATGAAATGAAGGCAATTGACAACATCGCGCTTAGTTACGCACCAACCTGCCGCGCGACGCTACGTTTGTTTTTAATTTATGTGTGTGTAAACCTGTGCGAAACATAAAGAAAGCATGTCGTCGTGTGTGTTCAGACGATGTACAAATTATACTCCAAAAGTTAAAGACAAAAATGTGTCATTTCATGCGTAAGTTCACCAAACAACCTATTTTTATTTTATTTTTTTCGACGCCGGCGCCCGCCATCTTGTGGCGGCCGGCGCATGAAGGTATAGTCACGTGCCGTCGGCATAACTGAAGATGTATATTTATCTCCCTCTAGCAAAGGCATTCTACTATACGATGTCATATTTTCTTTCCCTTTCTTTACTCGTAGAAGTAGTTATCTAGTATTTTCGCCGTTTTTAAGCGCCGCGATGTTGGTTCATGACGTGTCTATATATAATACGTCATTGCATCAATAGATACCTATGTATGTTGTTATTAACTACTAAACAACCGGTGTCCAGCCTTCATAACAGTAATTATTGAACGGAAACAATTCGACATTTACCCACTAATGTTCACTTCCAAAACCAATACATTCTTATCTATGAAACATCTTACTCTAAATTCAATAAAATCACACAAATTTCAACCTTATATCTTCCACTATAAGCAGCATACACATTATTATGAAATGTTACAAGAAAACAAGTCATAATTTAATATTTATTAATATTTTTGTGTATTAATATTAAATATTAATAATCAGGAGCGAGATATAATCTCTATATATAAGAGGATGTATTTGAAAAAAATGCAGTTGTGTTTTAGTTTTTAAACTAATTGGATTATCATTGGTAAGTTAAATATTTTTTTTATAATTTTATTTAAATACTTAAATATAATATTTAGAACTCTCTTAAATACTTATAACAGGTAGGCGCACCTCGTGTGAAGTGAATTTAATAAGCAAGACAACAAATTCCCTTTTTGAAAAAAATGTTTGGTTCTAACCGATCTCAGCGCAGTAACAAAACAAAAGATATCTTATACTACAGTCAGCTAATAAATATCAATTACTTAAGTTCTCTATGTACATAAACACAATATAAACTAGTTTCTATAATTGTATAATTATTTATGAATACATTGAATTGTTCAAGGCACACTGCAGCTTGCTTAGTAGATACGTATAGATACCTATAGGTAGTCATAAAGATATGCTTTAAGAATTAATATCTATTAATTCACTACGCAGATAATATTTGTCCCAATTGCCCTTGGATTCATTCTGTATGCTTCTCACGTAGTGCCTCTAAGCTAGGTTCCGATACTGGCTTCGCTCCTAGATTTAAAGTACGAGGTTTCTAGAATATAAAAAAAAAATCGTATTTTTTATAGCAATAGTTCGGCAAACGAGCATTCTTGTCAACTGATAGGCTATTTTCAAGTGCGTTGCTGTTTTTTTTGGTGTTAGAGGTGTGGGATTTGGTTGTTGGAGATTTAGGATTGGAAATGGGAATTAGGTAGTCCTCCAATAACCTTAATCACGCGGTTGCGCAAGAGTTGTCCCACATGCATTTTCTGTGAGACCGTATGACCATAACACTCCGGTCAAGCCGGCTCATTCGTGCCAGATCATGATTCTCCTGCACTCAAAACCTATGGAAATCCTAGGTCTTTTATTCTTATTGTAACGAGATAATATAAAAATAGGTACCTACATTTTATGTTGGTGTTTCACATAGAAGGTACTTAATCTTCTGATAAAATTTATGGTAAAATCGTGACTTACTTAATTTCTAAAATAAATAAAAAAATATACTTATTTCTAGTTGCATGCTACTAATATTCGGGCTATTACCTAAGTAGTGTCGAACAAAATTTATGAATTAGGCTTTCAATTAAATAAATAAAATATTTCAAGCGACTTGAAAAGCAAACAAGCGAGACTCAATTATAAATTCCGTAAAAAATATACATCCTTTTTGTAACCAACAAACAAACTAAACCTCTTTCTATTATTATCGACCCAAATGACTGAGGTCTCAAAGGTACCTAAATCAACCTAGAATTGTATTCTATAATTAATTAGTGGACTTACTTCCAACTCTCAGCTATAAATTGAATTCATCACAAATGCGATATGCATTATAAGTCTAAGTATTATACAATATCGATCTTCGATTAGTTTGAATAAAAAAAAACTTAATTAAAATATTAAATCGCCTGCAATTTTTTTCAGAGCAATATGACTAAAGGAAAAAGTGGTCAGAAGAGAGCGGAAGGCAGAGTGTTGAATTTTGATCATATCGTGTTTTGGGTGGCCAATGCTAAAACTGTGAGTAAATAGAACTATTTTAAAATGTACTTAATTGTAATTGTCACCAGAATAGATATTAATTATTAGTATATTAGTGGCAAGTGTCAAGATGAATGATGAATGAAGATATGTTGCCATAAACATAAGGAAGCTAGCTAGCTCTGTCTACGTTATATTTTTAAGTCACCTACCTAATTAATGTTTTATGATTTTCAGGCATCGTCATATTTCACAACACGATTAGGCTTTAAACCTCTCGCAGTACGCGAAGCAACAGAAAATAGAGCTGTGCAGTCGTACGCTGTTAGATCAAACCAGGTAAAACTCAAACTAAACTCTTTTTTAGGCAAACTTAAATCCACCAATAATAGCAAGTAAAAAAATATTTAAAAAATTGATTTTCGAAATGTAAATTTGTGAGTATAGATAGTACCTACGCACACGCATATAAACCCAGAACATCTGCGCCAAATGGGATGACCACGATTTAGTTTTGTTCCTTATTTTAATATTGTAAAGACATATAAAGGCAGCTAGGTAAAGCACACTTTTATACTTAGTGTTAAATAGAAAGCTAAGTAAGCAGGAAATTATCAAACCTGGTGAGCGCCCTTGACAAGGAACAAACACGTAATTGACATATTTTTTTGGTTACTTAGTCAGGCTAAGGATAAGTTTCTCCATGGAGCGTAGCTAACAACTGAACGTCCTATGGTGTAACCTTAGCGAATTCCTTATAAGACCAAAACTAAGACACAGACGACATTTTTGATAAACAAAAAAACTATAGGTAAGTACTCCCTACTCCAATCAAAGAATTAATTATTCTATTCGCTTCTTTAACTCGCTCATGTCGTATAAGTTGGTAGGTACGTGTTCTTTGGCGTCGTCGGTCCGCAACCTGGCGCCCTAGTTTACCTAACGAATAGATTTAGTACGTTTCTCCAAGTGTCAATGACCTAATCCTTAATTCCCTTCCAACAGATAACCCTAATATTTGAGTCGCCAACTTCCAACGGGGGAGAAATATCGAAAGATCTGATAGCTCACGGCGACTTCGTGAAGGACGTGGCTTTTGAAGTCCAGGACCTTGATGAACTGGTTCGAAAGGCAAAGGAAGGTGGCGCTGAGGTGATCAAAGGTGTCACGGAGGAGAAGGATAAATATGGGGTCTTAAGATATGTTGTGCTAAGGACGGTCAGTATGATAAAGTTTATGTTACCATTTTAGATAATTTTAGTACCTATTTACGCCGCGTTGGAATGGGCTTTTTTATTGGGATGGGTCGGCAAAGAAGCTAGCAGTTGCACCTGATGGTAAGCAATTTCGTGGCCCATGAATACTTGCATCTGGGATCCCAAGGAGTACCTAACAAGTATGTTGCCCGCCTTTTAAGGTTGTAAAGATTCTAATAACTGGTGATTTGGGGATTAGAGTTATACAAATACATATCACAGTATTCACAGTACTGAACAGGTTGGGCCTACGGAAGCCTTGCTTACACGGCGAACACAACACAAGTGTTTCAAGTCCTTGGCATTCGTTCGAGCTGGTCAATTTGTGACCAAGTATAGATGAATAGAGAACAATAGATTTTTCACCAGTTAAAAGTTACGACCCTTTCGAGGCTACATATTTAAAAGAGAATTTATTTTTGTAGTACGGCGACAACACTCACACACTTATTGATCGTAGTAAGTACAAGGGAGTGCTGTTACCAGGATTTGAACCCGTGGAGAATGACGTCCTTAACAAATCGCTGTAAGTATATCAATCATACATTTGCCACCAGCATCATCAGCCTATAAGTGCCCTCTATTGATCAAAGGCCTTATTCCCTGTGGAAGGTTTGAGGTATTTGCTAACCACGCTTCTTCGAGGCAGGTTGGCAATTTTTTATTATCAATCATCAGCTCCGCCCATGGACCGCTACAGGAGTAACGAGTGCGTTGCCGAGTGAATTTAGGGCGAACGATTGGACCTCCGGTAACCTCATTCACACGGCGAAACACAACACTGTGGTTATTTCACGCTGGTTCTCTGTGAGGCATAGTGAGGCCTTGGTATCACTCCGGTCGAGCTGACCCATTCGTCCCGATTCACTCTCCCACACATTGTAACTTACTAGCCTTTCTCGCGCAGTTTAACCTTATCGGTTCCCTTTAATAGCAGCGTGATGTTTTAAAGCCGATAGGTAGTACCTACTCAAGAATATTGTAGCTATCTTTCAGTGAAAGAATTTTGCAAATCTGACCAGCTGTTCCAAAGATTAGGTACCCCCTACATACAAACTTTTAATTACAAATTTTACCTCTTTATTAGTGTTGCCCAAATGCAAGAACAAGACGAGACTTAGCTAGTCTTGGTCTTGGTCTTGCGCCAATACACCTGGTCTTGGTCTTGGTCTTGCGCTCCCAGTCTTGGTCTTGGTCTTGGTCTTGCAGCAAGAGTCTTGCAAGTCTTGCAAGTCTTGCAATTACCTACTTATTAGTCTATTACTATTTATAAAAGTTTACTTTAAATCTTAGAAAAACGTATTAGAAACGGAACATTGTGAGCTTGAATTAACATAGCCATAGTAAAGATCAAGCAGATTAATAAATAACTGAAGATTTGATACAAAATTCGAAAAATCTATATGTCATTTTCCATGGAAGTAACTGTTTCTTAATAAACATTTATGATTTATAAGCTTACATTTGCTAAAACATGTAAAAAAACAAATTAATTACAATAACTTGACTGTTTTAAAGAACAATACTTATCTGTCTAGAAAGAGATTGAACCCTCAACTTATAAGAAATTTAATAAAAGAGTTTTACGATTTATAATTTATTTGAATAAAAAATAAAATACAACACAAATCAACAGCTTTATCATTAGGTTATGATACTTTATATAAATTTTTTTGACCAAGAATTAATACAAAGTAACCATCTGGCTGACTCATCTCTTAACCTATTTCTATGTTTTCTAATTACTAATGATGCTTTAGAAAATAACCTCTCAGCAGTTTCAAATATATTTAAAAGTGGCTACAATATTTATTAAACGGGTGATATTTCAACACTTATTTGCTATTTTTTCTTGTAAAAACTTAAGAAATATAATGACTAAATGTACAATAATAGTAGGTACCCAAGTAATTAGTTTAAAACCATATAAGCAATCAATATTATAATATATGTATACTTACTAGAATGAATTAATATGACATCTACTACCTATCCTTACCATTTTATCCTAATCATAATACTACTTGCGTGATCAGTATAATGTATTCATTTTCATTCTAAACACTCTGAAACTTATTTATTCTTTGGAACACCTGTAGGTACTCTTAAAATTCGAAATTATTTTGCATGAGTAGGTATACCTACGCCCTATGGCGGCAATCAAATAGTGTCAAATGTTATGATTTCGGCGTGGCGGAAACGATTGTTTTAGATTTTAAAAGAAGCCGCCGGCGCGTGTGTCATAACCATGTACTTCCGAAAAGCAGCAATTTGCTTTGAGAAGTAAGTACAAAACCTTTGATGCCGCATTATCAAAGTGCCGATGGTTAAAACATAACTATGCATGCACTCAGTTTGATTTTAATAGATATTTTTTATTCGCTATGTTTATGGTATTAGTCGTAATGCGCTTAGGTCCAGTTTTTCATATTCTTTGATAAAGTTTTTTCATATCTCATAGAATTCCTAAGCGTACCTACCTATACACCGAACTGTTACACCTAACTACTCAGTGAAATAGCGCCAAGTCCTAGCTGCAAGACGCAAGAGTCTTGCAGGCTATGTCTTGTTCTTGCTCAAGTCTTGCACGGTCAGTCTTGGTCTTGGTCTTGCTAAAAATACGCGGTCTTGTTCTTGGTCTTGGTCTTGCAAAAACGCAAGAACAAGACCAAGACTGCAAGACCAAGACTGAATTTGGGCAACACTACTCTTTATACTTAATATACCTAAGTAGAATAGATAATATTCCTAACTACCATCTGAAGATACATTGTTTAGCGTGTATTCCTGTACATAAATTATTGTTGAGCGCTTAAAACCTCTTCGCAAATTAAACTTACATAAATGCGTAAGTAGTACGTGTGCGTGCTAATTTCCTTTGACCAAAATGTAATAGGTCCACACTGGCGCCACTTGGTGGACACAAAAACAATAATTCCAAACTAAGGGCCACTTGCAGCAATAGGTACTTTAAATCGAGATTTACTGGAACAAAATCTCTGGAAAAAACAATAGAAAACATTTTTTGCTCAAAAAGTTGGTCGAATACAACTTTGCCTGTATCCGCCTAAAATAATAAATGTATACACATGTGCGAAGCATATAAATGATTAAAAAAACTATATTACATTTTATAATATAAATGATTAAAAAAACTATATTACTTAATAGGTAAATAATAACCGGCGTTTAAACCATTTAATGGGGTGGCGCTGTACTTTTAGTACTTATCGTGAAACTAGATGGCGCTATGTTGTCGAACTTTAAGACGTAAAATATCTGTATCTAAACGATTTCCACACAAATCACCGATTTAAATGACAACATGTACAAATCATATTAATTATTCAAAAACTATGCATAGGAGATAAATAATAACCGGCTCTTATATCATTTAACAATGTGGTGACGCTGCGCTTTAATTACTTATTGTGACACTAGATGGCGGTATAATACACATCTTCTCGAACTTTAAGACGTAAAATACCTACATAACAACAATTTTAACACAAACCATCGATTAAAATCACTACATGACTCTTTATATCATGCGTATATTTATATATTTTTAATCATGCGTATTCATAAGTAATTTTATGGGGTATTGTTTGTATTATTTGCAGACCTGCGACTAATTTGATGTTTATAGACCATGTAGAAGGCAACATGGCTGATGGAACACTTGAAGATTCTGTAACATGGTATGAAAAGAATCTCAACATGCATAGGTGAGAAATAAAATAATATCCACGGCTTTAATTGGATGTGCTATCTTTTTTACACAATACCTAAAAGACGTTTACAACACAACAAGTAGGCATTTATATTTTTACTTTATTGTTCGCTATAATTTTTTACAGATTCTGGTGTGTAGATTATAAACACGATTTAGTTCCATATTCCTGTATCAACTCCGCATCTGTCATCAACAGAGATGAAAACGTCCTTGTGAGTATTGTAAACTGACTGTTGCCAAGTCGCTTTGGAACGGAGAAAACCTGTATTAGTAGTACCGATCAGTACCCGATAGAGGTCACTGTGCTGTGACGTCATTTTCTGAATCGCGGTGTTAAGATTCTCCGCGAATGAATGACCCTCCCCGGTTTCCAATTCATGAGTATCGCTTCTCGGCCTTTTGGCTAAGATCAAAGTGTAGTATCTGTTCTTTTCAGCTTAATATCTGAAAGTTCCCTCACTGAGGGACCAGTATATTAAACTGATTTTTGGAAACTGACGGGATGTTCGGGGCTCGCTCCACTCCCGTCACGGGTCGGCCCGGCATTGCAGTGCCGCCGGGATCGGCCCACAGAATTCATTGAAAATCGCAGCATATGTGTCTGCTGTCTGATGTTAGTGCATTTCTCTTACTTTCGAAGGTGTAGTAGATGTAAACATTATCAATACCCACTTGTCAACAAAGTTTGAGTCTAATTATCACCATGGGGACATAGTTACGCAAAAAGGATCGAACCCTCTAGTAATAAAGGTATAAGTATTAGTAGTAAGTAGGTATTTATAGCAACAACTGCTACCTCATAATGTAATGTTTAAATATTTGAGAGGATTATAAATTTTAAACATTCGAAGTCAGCTGTTCAATTTAGTTTCGAGTTATTGCGAGGTAGGTTCCTAATTTATAGCAACGATGACAGATTGTTCTCGCCTATATCTATCCTCATTTCATGGTACTTCCCCAATATTTTATGAAACAATGAAAATAATTATGAACCTATAATAAAATTTAGCTAAACTATTTGTATCTGGCTAGTTTTGGAATCAATAAAAGTTAAAAAAAAAAAAAAAAAAATCCTCCCGCCGCCTAGAAGATCTACTACGTGATCCAAAGTGTTTAGTGCCGTTATACAATTTCATTAAAAATACTCTGAAAAGTATATAATAACATAAAACCGAGTAAATTAAAAGACTTGGCTTAAAGGACTCGTATCCAGGCCATAAACTCCAAAAAAAAAAAAAAAAGTTAAAAATTTAAAGAACACAAATTCAAATTAGGAAAATTTGTGATTTTCATTTGTTTTCGCACTCTCAAGATGAGTATCTCTAACGTAAACATGAAAGGTAAGCCGCGATTTGCGATATTTATGGACCAAGTGTCTGTGTGAGCACAAATTTGGTTTAAAAAATTACGAAAGTTTGGCTGGTAGGTGATACTAATGCATCTGCTGTATAGTTCTGACCTTGCTTGTCTTTATAGACCATCAGATTTCCACCTGTTTCAGTCTCATGAAAATTCTTTAGGTTGTGTTAGGTTAACATCACGAAAGAACTGCCCAATCCATTTGTTGGTGTATTTTTAACAGACGTCCCAAAATTTAGAAATGTAGAAATGGGATCATGAATACGACCTATAAGATGACAAAAAGTTATCGAATGAAATGGCACCTACATACTAAAAATGTTTTGGATTTTATAAAAAAATACGAAGTCACTTTATTCCCAACGTATTTTAATTATGAACACGATATTTGATAATTACAATTAATTTGTATCAAATATAATCAGGTTGATCTTTTGGATTTCAGTTATGGAAAAACAGACTTGTTTTTTATTGAACTTGTTTTTTTTAGCTTTCTATGAATGAAGCTGCGAAAGGGTTAAGGCCTACTAGCAAGGCGACCGAGTTTGTGAAGGCACTGGGCACCTCTGGAGTGGAACACATTGCTTTGTACACGGATGATATTGTTGCTACTGTAAGTAAAATTAAACCAAACACGCCTTTGTTATATTTTAGTACAGCGCCATCTAGTGTTTTTTTTATGAGAGTAAAATAAGCAATAAGTCATTTTTCAAGATTTCCGATTAGATACGGTTAATTAGGGTTTAAATGTTAGTAGAACTTCTCCGGCATAAAATACGCCATTGCATACAAGGAATGGTCAAAACGGAGGTAGCTAAATAAATAAGTAAAATAAAAGGGATGTGATATTTAATGTCCATGCAAAAGTTAATGGTTACCTACTTTGACAAGTATATTTTACCTTAAAAATCGACGCTCAAAAGTATTTAAGTAACTAATTCCATAAAAAAATGAAATACGGCATGTAACAATATTATTTTTCTTCAAACAAAACTACTTCTTTCTCTACTTTCCTACAGATGCGAAATTTGAAAGCCCGCGGCGCCGACATACTGTCATGGCCGCCGACTTACTACGACTTAATTCGAGAGAAACTAAAGCATAGTTCTGTGAAAGTCGCGGAAAGTATCGAAGAGTTGCAGGAGCAAAACATTCTGATTGACTTTGACGAACGAGGGTACATGCTGCAGGCATTCACTAAACATCTGCAAGCCAGGCCGACGGTCTTCATTGAAATATTGCAGAGAAGGAATCACAGGGTTTGTAAACAAAATGTCACTGATTTAATTCCCTAAAGGATAGTCAAAGATACATAATGTACTGCGGCCTCGAGTAGGAGAAGAAACGTGATGGTTTTAGTCAGTAAGAGTAAGGTGTCGTCGTGGTGGCCAAGGAGGTCAAGGCTAGGTTTAGATCCCGCACCATCATGCATGAGAAACGGGTTCAAATCTGATTTGAAAATGATTATTTAGACACCACTGACATACGGTGAAGGTAAACATCGTGAGGAAACCTGGACTTATAATTTCTAATTATAAGTTTGAAATCGCCAATGAGCCTCCTTGAGCAAGCATGGTGATTAATGCTCAAACTTTCTCCGCGTAAGAAGAGGCTTTTGCTCAGCAGTGGGCACTTATAGGCTGATGATGATGACGATGAAGAGTAAGACAGAACTCTCACGAGAGATGGAACTTGATGCCTATCGACTCAAAAAAAGGATAGGCAAAGGAACGCATCTATAATTTGACACCCACGTTTATACCAGCTTAAATGCCAAGTCCTATTAATAGCTTAGCCTATAAACCACTACAGACAAGACTCTACAGGGCCGATGTTCAGTCAAGGTTGCGGGGCTAGACCAATAAGGTACCACAGCCTCGGCCTAAAGCTGGAGGGGGGAACGGGAGGTTTAGTCAGTAAGAGTCTGACACTTTTTCTCGCTTTACCCTGGACTAGAGAAGTCATTGTATGGTTTTACCACCATAAAAAACTGATAAACTAATTGAAGCAAGGGATATAGGGACAGAGAAAACGAATTTATTTTATACACATATGTAGTGATAGTCCATACACGCCTAAGAGTAACTATTCTAGTATATTTTATTTCAAATTTAGGATTAATCAAAGATTGAACGCAATTTCAACTTTTTATTTATTCCTAGGGTTTCGGCGCTATGAACTACAAGTGGGTGTTCGAAGCGATCGAAAGGCTCGAAAACAAAGAAATTAAGAATGACAATACAGAAGAAGTGAAGAAGAATGATGCAGCATAATAATTCAATATTATTAAATTTTGCTTATTTTCTATACTGAATGTACTTACCACATTGTTTTTTAATTTTTTGTTTTTCGCCATTCAATTAATATTAAATGGGTCTTGTTTTATGTTTTGTTTAATCTTTACTGTCTTTAGTTATAAATGCAGTATCCCTAAGATTTGTGTTTCTTTTTCCGCGTTACACCACTGACATACGGTGAAGAAATACATCGTGAGAAAACCTGGGCTTATAAGTTTGAAATCGCAAAAACACCTTGAGCAAGCGTTCCTAGTGATTATTTCTCAAATCTTCTCCGTGTGAGAAAAGCCCTTTGCTCAGTAGTGAGCACTTACCTACAAGCTGATGATGTGGGTATGATGAAAGATTTTTCAAACCCCAATGTAAATTTACCCAAAATGAATTACAATTATGGATTCATTTGGCTTATTTTTTATGTAATGTTACGCAATTTAAAAGTTTCCAAAAATCTTGATCAATCTTTTAAGATGACAGACAAGAAAAGTCTTGTTTTTTTGTGTTTAAGGGTAAAAATCAATTTTACCCTTAATGAACAGACAGAATTTGATGAAATTTGGTACAGACAAAGAATTGATCTTAAGAAATAAAATAGGCTACAAATTTTTTACCTAAATCTCACTTTTATGCAGCTAATGTATAGCTAATAACAAAATTTGTGTAGGTACCTAGGTACCTAAGCGAAATATTGGTAAAAAACAAAAAAAAAATATAGTTCTGAAATGCCATATCATTGACGATGGAAAATTCTAGAAGCCGTTAAAGAAAATATATTATTGCACAATATTTTGTAATGTGGAATTTATGTCTGATATTTAAAATGGCCGACCGACCGGTACCGGACTCCGGTCGACACTGACGTGGGGTGGAGACTGCGGCACTAAATATATTAAAACGATGTTATTATACGGAAAGAGAGATACAATATTGTTGAGTAACTGTTCTTTAGAAATATTATTTAATAAAAAAGTAGTACTATTTTTTGCTTAAACTTGGGTTACCTGCTGAATGACGGTAACAAAACCGAATACCTAAAAAAAATATTTTGTTTCTTGAAATAAGAAAATTAAAGAAAATATAAAATTGAAAAAAATAATAGAGAGAGGACAACAAGCTATAATTTTTGACGTAAGTCAAGCTCCTTCTAATGTCAGATTTTTTCCAAAAACAAAAAAAAAACAGCAAAATAACCTGGTGTCAAAATATTACGGTTATTTCATTTATGTGATTAATTTCATTCAAAATTGAGGGAATACAACCTGTGTTTGAACCTGTAGAATCCTTCTACTGTATAAAAGTTCCCATTTTCCAGTCAATTAAGAAGATTTTTTCCCGTTTTTCATTTGGAAAACGGTAGATTCTATACTCTTACTAGGTAACTGGGTATGTCATGACGCTTCACCCCGCCTCTGTGCTAAACTCGCTTCAAAATCCAGTTTTCTATATCCAATCACATTTACATTTTGTTTATCGCGTGATTTGCGCAGTGGGCAATACTAGTCCCGAAGCTGGATAAAATTGTAAAAATGTATTGTAAATATTGTGTTGTTTTGCATTCTGAGTTGTAAACAAGGTCTTAGATTGTTGTTTTGTTTATAAACAAATGACGTTTTAATAATAACCTGTGTAGCTAGCTAGCTATACGTAGGCAATTTGTTTATTTTAATTTTAGTAATCGTTATTACTGTGAATGGTGTATCTTATTAGTTATTACATACCTTATTACCTCTACTTATATTATTTCTTTTTTATTTTCGTGTTTTCGCCACTAGTTTAACCCGATTCTTGGCTCTCATCGGTAGTACGTAATGTAAAGACTACAAAACGCCATAAGATTTATTTCCTATTGCACCAGCAGTTCCTAAGAATAGTGCGCTTAAAAAACGTCTTTAGCTTTATAATATCACAAGTTTACCTTTTGGTGTTACAGACAAAGGATATGGTTGATGTATTAATACAAAATAATTTAAAAAAAAATGTAGACTATGTTTTAAATAAGCACTGATGAATGAGAAATACCAAAACCAAACTTGTAATAATTTGTTAGAACTTGCGAATAAAACCCTTAGGTGGCAATAAACTGTAGAATAAAATATCAGTTTTTTTTTATGTTATACGTCGGCAAACGAGCAGACGGATTACCTGATGGTAAGCAATCAGCGCCACCCATGGACACCCGTAACGGAGGAGTTACGAGTGCGTTGCCGACCTTTTAGGGATTAGGGATTTGGAGATTTAGGAACTGGGGAGGGATTGGGAAGGGGAAGGATTGGGCCTCCGATAACCTCACTCACACGGCGAAACACAACTCTGTGGTTGTTTCACGCCGGTTTTCTGTGAGGCCGTGATATCACGCCGGTCGAACCGACCCATTCGTGCCGAAGCATGGCTCTCCCACACTTAATTAGTAGAATAAATAAGTTATGTTTGGACGGCAAACGAGCAGATAGATTACCTAGTGGTAAACCATTGGCGCCCTTGCGTTGCCTGCCTTTTGGGGTTTAGGGTGTCGGAGATTTAGGGATTGCGGGTGGGGAAAAAGGATTGGGCCTGCGGTAAGTTCTGTTGAATGCTGATTGCTGTAGCTGTTTCACGCTGGTTTTCTTCGAGGCAAACTGAGATCAGTCTGGTTCTCTCATGCCGAACTTTTGGTCCAATAATGCCGAAGCCGAACCATGGCTCTCCCAGACTTATTGTACAGCAACAATGATACAAAAACCAATACAAAACATCTTTTAAATGAACAAGGATCAACGAATTTGTATGATATTATATAACAAATTACAAAAGACGACGTTATCATTTTGTGACGTCAGCTACCGTTTTTAACTCGTAAAATTAATTACAAAGATTATGAGTACAATGAATTCAATGTATGTATAATAACGTAATTAGTAAAAACAATTTATTTTTTAGGTATAATACCAATTCTAAGCAGTACATAAAATACATAGGTACGTGTCGGCACAAAAAACTACCCAAGCTGTCAAACAATTTTCATAGATTTTCAACAAAGATCTAGAGTTGGTAATAATTTAGTAAATTTGATAGGTAGAGTAGTTAGCTTAATAAGTGTTTTTTATCCACGGAATGAAAAAAAAACAACATGGTTTCAAAACATACGTTACGTATAGTATCATATTTATTTTGCATAATGTTGAATTAATAAAAAATAAATGTTAGTCTTAAAATAACAATTGAAGAGAATTAGAAGCATAGACTGCGGCGTTGCTGTTAGTAATTTCTGTGTTTTTTTATTGAAACCTTTACATGTACCTACCTACTTAGATTGTGATCAAAAAATAGTTTTCTGCGTAATTTATGTTTTTTTAGGAGAGACTACTTTTTTATAAGATATTGTTCCAAAAATAGTTTTGTATTTTATTTCAAGTGAGTTTTATTTTCGAGTTTTGTCCAAATTGTTAAGTTTGGTGACACTGTGCAGTGGAGGCTCGCCCGCAACGAGTTGGGGACGAAGTGACCGTCAGTGACGGATATTTGGGACGCGTTCACATTTACGATATAACCCTAGAACACACACACCCTAGAACAGATTTTTTATTTATATTTAGGTTTGTAGCAGACATTGTGTGAGTGTAAAAAGAGGTACAAACAAGTCTAGAAGAAGTCTAGATTTTTTTAAATCCTATAATAGATAATTAAATTGGAAAATACCCCAGAATCTAATTTCAAATCGTATGTCAGTCACGCTGCAAATATTAGTCACCGTATTGTCACGTCACTGCAATGAGCGCAATCTCCTGTATTTTCATTGCATAGTTGCACCCAACTTAGTGGCAATAAATCGGGGTATCAAAATGATAAATAGCGGTGGGCCTTACTGTACAGAGTGTCTATGTCTAGATAAGCAGTCAGTGGGTACTGTTAAGGGCGGAGTTTAGGAGTTCGAGCTAGGACCACTTAGAGCAGCAGAGAAAACGCACGTGAGAGGGAGTGTCAGACTCTTACTTTTTGAGCAGCCAGATTAACTGATGTTAAGTAATCGGCGTCGCCCATGGATACTCGTTATACCAAAGGAATTACTACAAGTGCATTTGAATATAAGAAATATGAGGAATAAGGAGGGGGCTTGGGGAGGATTGGGAGTATGTGATGGATTGCCAGTAACATCACGGTACTGACTAAAAAACACCCCATTCCGTCCCCGAGCCAACACCGCGTTACATTATCGTTTACAGCCACAATCCCGCTAAGATAAGCATCTATCTGGACCTTTTATAAGAATGGTCGCACCATGGTCAAAAAGAGGAACATTAAAAAAGGTACCAATTTTTTTCCAACGACCTGTTTTTTACACTCTCTGTGATATGTGAACACGACTTTACACTAGTCTTGTTTTCACATAAAGTTTTAGGAGTTGGTATATTCTCGTTTTGATATAAGTGGTGGCAGGTAGAGCAGCTTCTTAGTTGTACTACTGCCTTTCGTGAAACGTGACGTTCTAGTGTCGAGCGTTTTCCGTTGCGAATCTACTTTTAAAATGGTAAGTACAAAAATATATACCTATATAAATTTATTTTTCATATTATACAATAGTAGGTACCTAATTAATTATTTTGCTACAAATTCTATTTTTTTGGTGTTTAAATTAAAATTATGATTTTAATATTAATAATATTAAAAATATATTGTAATTGTTTAAAACAGTGGTCTGGTTTAAAAATGTATTGACGTAGTTTCTTGATTTTTTTGTGTGGTTTATGGTTGATTATAATATATTCTATGGATTAACATACCTATGAATAAAATAAAAATTACACTCAAGTATTATTATTTATAATTTAATAAAGTATAATAGATACTGTTTTTGCTATATAAAAGTGTTTAAGAATTCGCCCATCCGCTTAAGAGTCTTAATTTTTTATTAATAATATTGTTTTTTTTTACATTTATCTATTAAAAATATGTGCAATCTGTGCATTTGATATGTGCATCTTTGCCTGTAACTGGGGCAATGAAAGTTATGATGTGTTTTTGTAAACGCTCTATTTATTAACTTATAATAATAATAAAGCCCTTTTATTCCGCACCTCATTGAAAAAACAAAACAATACAGTTTTTAATTATTTATAGTATGTCACGCAGTTCGGCGTGCCTCTTGGCATAGGCACCCTCCAGCTCTCTCCTTTGAGCTCGATCCTCCGCGGCTCTGGTCCAAAATGGTCCCAGGGTTAGCTGAATATCGTCACTCCATCTTCTCTTTGGACGCGCTGGTTTTCTGACGTTTTCTCTAGGATTTATTAACTTAGGGTACCTAAATGAATAAAAAAATCGTATTAATAATGCCTAGAAGCATTAAATAAACATATAAGTAATTAATAAATATAATCATTTGTATTACACAACTTATAATATTTATTATTTAATACAAAGAAGATTTCTTCTGTAATATAAGTTTTACAAATAATACGGTACTTAATATGCAAAACATATTAATTATATTTCCTAGTACAAGTAAACAAACTCCTTAAAAACTTTGCTGTGCTCGCTGGTCCAAAATTGTGTCCTTATTAAACTTCATCAGCTAATGTTAACAAAATCTTATTGAACTATTTAGAACATACTCGAATTCAATAAAAAGAAATACCTTTGTTGACCATTGGGTACTTAAAGGTTAAGTGGGCAACAAACTATCTAATTAAGAATCAAAAACTTTACCTACCTCAACAAAAAGCCGCTGTCGTAGTCATAGACAATATAATTTTTTTTTGAACTGTTTTACCCGTCCTTCCCTTATTTATCAGCCTTTTTTTGGTAATTTAATGGCATTCTTATTGCTTTGAGAGACCGTTCTCAAAGTTTTATCGTACCTACAAAAGATACAAATTTCTGGAAAGATCTAAGATAAGCTGAGTGGTTCTCATTTCAATTGTTCGGATTGAGTTGATAGTTCATACTAGTTAATAGTTTGTTAAGGATTAAGGGCCAAAATTACTCTAGCTAGGGTTGCGGGTACAAAACAAACGCGATAATGTAACGGGCCTGTTCGGAGCAGGAGAAGGGACAGGGTGGTTTTTAGTCAGTAAAAGTCTGACACTAGGTAGGTACCTCTCGCAAGGAGGAACACTACATTTCCCCCTCAAAAATTTGCAGAAATACTTAAAATCTTTCGATTAGATTTGGACAGAAGATTTCTAATTTCTTTTCAAATCTAGATCGATTTGTAGATTTTGGATTAAGATCGGGTTTTTATTCCGTTAACCAATTTAAGGGGTGGCAAAGCCAAACTGTATCAATAGGTATGGCATTTAACGGCTGTGTAGTCAGTATCAATAGTCGAATAAAAATAAATAATACCTTTCTTTCTGTAAAATAGACTTGTTGTTATATTAATTTTACCTATTATTTTTTCCGCAAATGGAATACCTATTTATTCTTACAAATTGAGCTAGAAAAATAAAGCATAATATCGTCAGATCATATCTAAGTAATTATCTATGATTTGTTAATTTTAGATGGATTGTGCTACTTACGTACCTACTTTTGACTAGGTACCTATTCAAAAACTTTATACATATAAGTATCTCAATACTTACTATTTTCAGACCTCTTACACGGACAAGGGTAGAAAACCAGAAGATGGACGCTTTCTAGCTTTCGATCATCTCACATTTTGGGTGTCAAACGCAAAGCAGGTAAAAATATATCAACGTAATTAAAATTTTATAGAATAAATTATTTTAATATTATGACGTGTAGGTATGTGTCTATAATTTGCATATTAAAACAACACAATGCATAAAGATTCTATCTCCAGGTGATATTTGAATAAATTTATATTAATTTAGATCAACAATACCTACATTGTGATTAAAATTATAAAAGTTTGTATGCAAGTATAGAATTTCGCGCCATTTTCTCGGCCACAGATTACTAAATGAACTTGAAAAATGCCTGGGCCATGGCCAGTGAACTATCCTGCGTGAAATTATTTTAATAATTAATTTTCGACTTTATTGCTTCTGTTAAAGAATTGAAAATGTAATAAGTTTCTCGTAAAACGTAATAAGACTTGAATATTTTGTTTTTTATAATCAACATTTTTTTTTTCGTTTTTTTTAATTGTTTTTTTTTATGTCGCAGGCAGCCAGTTATTATGTTACGAGATTTGGCTTCGAGCCTTTGGCGTATAGTGGTTTGGAGACTGGCTCAAGAAAAATAGCTTCGTATGCCGTCAGATTGAATAAGGTAAACGAGTATTGTGATTATTAGAATGGACGAGCCTTTGTATGAATTAATTAGTGCGAAATACTTATCTACTGGTTTATTTTTAGTATTAAGTATTTTATTATGCGTTGTTAAGATATTAGGTATTATACCTTCATATATAGGTACAGAAAATATTGAATAATGATATGAATTAAACGACTGAACTAAGCCGATGCGTGATTGGGTAGGTACCGTATAGATAGTGTTAGGTCGGATTCTGTGAAAAATATTGAATGATCGAAGGTATCAAAAAATACACCATAATTTGCCTAGTACTGTCAAGTCTGTACTGGTTACTCGAGGTACCATCCTTAATCTTCTCAAAACTATAGATACCTTATTACCAAATTCCAAAAAAGCTAGTAGGTAACGCACACAAATCCCAATAATGTTGGGAGTGTCCGAGGGAGACACCGATCGCTTGCCTGCTTGCCATCAGGTGTTAGCCAATAGACCATCACTGATAGGCCCCATTAGGGTCGATGGTTTTTGGATGGTTAGTGGTTTTTAGTCAGTAAGACCAGACAGAGGGAGTGTCAGATAGTACACTCCCTGTTGCGTCCCTCTGGACAAGAGTAGACTAGATTATTTCCCCCCTCAAAAAAAAACATCAGTGACGACACGAGATATGAAAATGACAAAAAAATTAACTAGCTTTTATTCCTGGGTGCTTTCGTTAACAAATATAAATTAATAGAATTTTATTAATTGAGTCACTCAGAATACAGAACAAACTCTGTATTCTGAGTTGAGTCATTACCGAATAAAATTTGAATTTTTTTATTAATTTCCCCAGATTATCTTCGTATTACAAGCTCAATATGAACCTGAAGAGACAGACTTTGCGAACGAAGTAGCGTACCACGGTGACTTCGTGAAAGATGTGGCGTTCCAAGTGGAAAATCTGGACTATATCCTGGAGTACGCCAAGAAACAGGGCGCCGTGGTCGTGAAGGATTTGTGGCAAGAAGAAGATGAGTTTGGAGTGGTCAGGATGGCTACTGTGAAGACGGTAAGCATATTGGAAGCATATCTACTTTTAATGTGATAAGTAGTTTCGCAAACAAGCAAACGGATTACCTGATGGTAAGCAATTAGCGCCGCCCATAGACGCAATAGAGGAGTTACGAATGCGTTGCCGACCTTTTGTTGATAAGGGATTGGGGGAGGGGAAGGATTAGGACTCCGGTAACCTCACTCAAACGGCGAAACCCAACGCTGTGTTATTTTACGCCGGCTTACTATGAGGCCGTGGTATCACTCCGGTCGAGCCTCATATTCGTGCCGAAGCTTGGCTCTCCCACACTTAATTGTAGGCTGCTGTCTCTTTTGCCTCTAAGGCTTAAGTCGTTCTGTCTCCTGCATTAAATTATATACCTACCGGGGAAAGTGAAAACTATTTCGTATTTCTTTTTCTCAAATAATAACTTCTAATTTATTTCGTTGAGGGATCCAAGACAGTCATTTATGTCCCTGGGACGTGCCGGACTTCAGTCTTGCGGTGTTTTCATGGTTGTATCTATTGTAGATCATGGCTTACAGGAGTTGTAGTGGTTTCGGAAGATTGTGGCAAGCTTGTCACATAGAAGGACTACAAGGTATTGGCTTTTATTGTGTAAAAAATAAAGGTCGATATCTCTAAAAGCTGTATTTAAAAAACATTGGGAAGCAGGGTCAATGTTCGTTCGCTACGATGTCTGATTCGGTCGGACGACCGTTAGTTTTTCAGGTCTTTAGATTACTTGAAAGAAATGTTGGTTTTAAACACTTTAACTTTAATATTTTTGTTCACAGTACGGAGACAACACCCACACGCTGGTGGACAGGTCCAAGTACCGCGGACCGTTCCTCCCGGGCTACCAACTACTGAACAGTGACCCTATCAACAAATTCCTGTAAGTTATCCTTTGACTATTAGCTGGCGTCATTCAACGTCGTTGTTAGCGAATCTTGTCAATCTGTTAAATGTTTCTTGGAACCTTATATTACTCGTTAACTCTAGTGGATTTAATAAATAGAAGTCTTGAACAATATTACTATTTGAAAGAATACTTGAACTGTTTAAAAAAATGTTTTGCCTAACTTTCTTTTAAGAGCATCACTAACTGTTGTTGTATAATTCTAAAAAAATAAGCTAGCTTTTGCCCACGACTTTTGCGGCATTATCATAAAAAGCCTATGTCCTTTTCCGAAGTGTATTCCACGCCTGTGCCAAATTTCATTCAGATCCGTCCAGCCGTTTTGGAGTGATTGAGTAACAAACATCCAAACATCATAACTTTGCATTTATAATATTAGTAGGAAGTAAGATTAGTAAGATATGCATTGCTTATTAACTGTTTCTTGCATAGGCCTAAAGTGGAGATCAACTTCATAGACCACGTTGTGGGCAATCAACCTGACGGACGCATGGAGGAGGCAGCTTCTTGGTACGAGAGGTGTCTGCAGTTCCACAGGTAATACCCGTACACTGTTTGAAACAAATCAACCGAGTATTTTAGAGCGTGCTTTTTTGCTATGAAACAAAAAAAAATGCATGTTACCTATACGCATTTTTTCTACTTAGGTAGGTAAGTACTTAACCATTCTCCCTACCTAATGAATATACTTAAGTATGGAGGGGGAGGGGGGAGATCCATGCGTAAAAGTGGGAGATCCATGCTTAGGTAAGTGTGGGAGAGCCATGCCATTGGTCGGCTCGACCGGAGTGATACCACGACTTCTCAGATAACCGGCGTGATACAACCAGCGTTGTGTTTCGCCGTGTAAGTGAGGTTACTGGAGACGCAATCGTTCCCCTCCCCCAATCTCTGCCCAACCCTTGATCCCCAAAAGTCGGCAACGCACACCTAACTCCTTTGTTAGCTTACCATCTGCTAATACTCGTTACCCGACCAATCACATAAAAAAAACTAAGTATTTTTGTAACCTAGACACGCCGTCAAATATTTTACTTAATTTATTAAAAACTTGCAGCTTCACACATTTTCTAAGTATCGTACTAAGATTTAAGAATTAAAACTAATGCGTCTAAGTATATCATAAGGCCTTCGACTGCGACTAAGCTAGAAATAAGTTTTTAGCCCTGCTAAAGGCACAGCCTAAGTAAATAACAAACAACCACTTAATCCAATTATCTTTTTCTAGATTCTGGTCAGTGGACGACAAGCAAATCTGTACGGAGTATTCAGCCCTTCGGTCCATTGTAATGGCCAACTGGGAAGAGACTGTGAAGATGCCTATAAATGAGCCAGCGGCTGGCAAGAGAAAGAGTCAGATCCAGGAGTACGTGGAGTACCACGGCGGAGCTGGAGTGCAGCACATCGCTATCAATACTGAGGATATTATTACTGCTGTAAGTTGATTTTAATGCCCCTGCGACGAAAGGGTCGCTATTACGCCACTTTCCTGATTACTTTTCTAAAATTTCATTTTATAGGAACGTGCTGTGAACCTGTACAAGTTCCTTTTTGGCCATGGGTTAAGTGCCCACTGAAATACATGTATCTTAGTAGATATACGCTTAACCCCAAAATTACATGCATCAAGTTTCTAATTTTCGTCGTAAAAAGTTGGGTAGGTCTTTGGAACCAATTAAAATTGTCGTAATCGAACTGTCACAACTGACCAGGAAATGGATGATAATATCCGAAATACTTAGTTTTAAATAGCCTTTTTATTTTAAAAGAAATGTTCAATAGAATTGTATTAAGCCAAAAGCCAAAATTGTATGTCGTGGTGGCCTGGAGGTTAAGGAGCCCGCTTCTCATGCATGAGAGTGTGGGTTCGAAACCTGGCAAGTACCAATATGACTTTTTCCGAGTTATATGTACTTTCTATGATTATTTAGACACCACTGACATACGGTGAAGGTAAACATCGTGAGGAAACCTGGACTTATAATTTCTAATTGTAAGTTTGAAATCGCCAACCCGCATTGAGCAAGCGTGGTGATTAATGCTCAAACCTTCTCCGTGTGAGAAGAGGCCTTTGCTCAGCAGTGGGCACTTATAGGCTGATGATGATGATGATGAAGCCAAAAGGCTTGGTTCCACATTCTTTAAAAGCAAAATGCAATTTCTAGACAGGAATTTTTCAACAAGCAATTTGTCTACCTATTCCAGATTGAAAATCTTCGCGCCCGCGGTGTGGAATTCCTCTCCATACCTTCGGAATACTACACGCTGATCCGTGAACGTCTACAACACAGCAAAGTGAAGGTGGCTGAAAGTATAGACGAGTTGGAGAGGCTGAACATCCTTATAGACTATGATGACGATGGCTACCTACTTCAGATCTTCACTAAGAACACTCAAGACAGACCTACCCTTTTCTTAGAAGTTATTCAGAGGAGAAATCATAACGTAAGTACCTACCTAATTAATTTATTAACGTAAGTAATTTAGCACGGTGGATGGGCAACTGGTTGCCACGACGTTGCGCAGATTCCCGCACGGAACAACTCATTGTGTGATCCACAAATTGTTGTTCCGAGTCCGGATGTGATGTCTATGTGAAATTGTAGGTATGTTTGTAAACGCACCCACGACACAGAGGACAGTCCTAATATGAGGCAACGTTGTTTTTTTAATAGGTATAGTTTTTTTTAATCCTTATTATTTCAATTTCAATTTCGGTCAGAAAGAAAGAAATCTTATAAGGTACGATTATATACGACGATAATTTTCTATCAATAATTGCCAATAGAAAATGTTTAATGTGCAATCTGTTGTTTTGATCATTGATTTAAATTGGCCAAACTAGTGTAGTTGAACAAACTGTTGTACAATTATTATTGGGCACCTAGTTTCTATATACAATTTGCAATAATTATTAGCTGTTTTGCGATCATTGCTGAATTTCTATTACACCATAAACAAGCAAGCAGAAGTCTTACCGCCCCAGTTTTTTTCATACAAATATGGACTTACTTGGTTATACGAAAGAACATAATGGATATTTTATAGTACCTAAATAAATTCTAAGTATCTTCCGAAGGATCTGATAACACAACTTTTTTCACAGGGTTTCGGCGCTGGCAACTTCAAGACATTATTCGAATCCATCGAATTGGAACAAGAAAAGCGTGGCAATCTCTAAATTATTATTATTACGTAGGACATATATATACTCCTTGTCTGCCATATTACATTAGGAAACATACAATATGTTATCAAATCCCACATCGATAAAAAACAAAATACTCATTAAATCGTGCCATTAAGGTGCTAAATTCGGACGGATTCTTCTTAACATATTGTATGCGAACTTAAAAATATTTTGAATTAACTATAAGCTGAATTTTGTTATGTTAAAAATGTAAATAAAACTACATTTGAAAAGTGTATCATTTATTTATTTAAATACCGTTGATTTTAACATTTTATAGCTCGTTTCAATATTGCCTATATACCGAGCTAAGTTATATTTACAAAACACATGTAGATATTCTTGAAAAACAAATGCACATTAATAAAAAAATGTCGCGTAGATTCGAAACGCGATACATAAAATAATATTTCCATTATTCACAAATTTGTAGACAGCACCAAATTATTTATAAGCCGGATGGACCGGTTTGATAAACGAAAATAATTCTTATGGCATTCATAAGTTACATTAATAAGTTAAAGGCGATTATGAACCTTATTGCTAGCACATTGGACTAGATTTAATTAAATTTGGCAAATCAATCAATATAGTTTGATTGACTTACCAGATTGAATATAAAGTTTCTATTCAAATAATTTCCAATGGTAAAATTGCCACTGCATTTTCTATATAAAACATCATAAATGAGTGAATTCAGTAGCCTATCAATAGTTTTCAAGGAATGTATTTTATGATAGTGTTTATAATATTTTAATTTAGTTCTTCAGACAGCGCAATAAACATCATTTTCGTATATCAATCCGTCGTCGCAATAATTCCGAATCACAAAACCCGACGGATATAATAAATATTAATAAAATACAATATGCAAAATTAAAACATAATTGCATAAATACGTCGTAATTACATCCACCGAAGATCAACGAAATTTGCCGAACGTCTTCGGGAGTTTCCGTCATGCTTCGGCAATGCTCGGCATAAAATTATCGTCCATTCATACTAGCGAGGAGTCAAGATTGTCATATGGAATGTCACAAAGCAAAATGACACCTAAGCACTTTCAAATAAAGAAGATTTCCCTTCTACAACGTTATTTTACGTTCAAATCGAATTCTGTTTTGTACCACACAAGGAATTCGCGCGGTACGTCGCAGAGATAAGGTTGAATTTGCTATGACATTTCACAATGACGCTTCGCTGAATTGACCCCAATAATGTTATTATAATTCGTCTAAAATCCTTTACGTCACAAATCTCTTTGATTTATGATATCTACATACACATTTATCATTCGTCCTCAGTTATTTGCTAGTAAAATATCAATGATATAATGTAAATTAAGTTTTTTATTATAACATGACTGATTTCTGTAACTAAATTGTATAATTTTGAGCTCGCGTTGTGTCTAAGCTGTTACTACTACGTTAATTATTATAAAAAATGTGTATTTTCTATGTGTTAGTTAATAAAATCAGTCATCCGCAAGTCATTTAACGTTCCACTTCAGATCTTTTCATTGTAAAAACCATACTTTTTTACTATCAATTGTAGTTTAGATCGGGGAACTGAATACGCTAGAGGCACGGCCAAAATAGTACGTACGTACTTTCAAAGCGTAGATTTAGTGGAGTTTTTTCATAAAATTAACCTAATTTGTGTCGAGTAATAATGCTAAAAAATCGTGGTTCAATGTTGCTATTTGTATCTATCAGCTTTATAAAGCTACAAACCCGCTAAATCCAGCTCATTCCCTTATTGCAATGAAACATTCAGCAATTTTACATCACTAACCAAAAATGCGTCATTCGCTTATTGTAGCGCACATCTTATTGGATAAAGTGACAATACCCATACGAAATACTAGAAATTTAGTCTAACATAACCTAACTGTCTACAGTCTCAAGATTGGAGTATCACGTGGGTACATTTATAAGGAAATTAGGAATAATAAAATAATAATGTTTATATAAAGTAATTTATTTAAATTAATTATTATCATCAACGCATCACCGTTGAATTACGTTTAGTGTATGGAAGACAAAACATATATTATATTGAAATACGTCATCAATTTTTGCGTAAGCACATAATTATGAGTTTAAACAAACAAAAACATAAAACTAGAGCACAATAATATTATAATAATATCAAGAGATTATTACACAATCAGATTTAAATTAAATAGTCGAGTTTTTACACAAAAATTATATAACCGATTAGATGTTTGCGCAACTTTGCGCAATTTAGCGCGATTTTGCGCAACTTAGCGCGATTTTGCGCAAAACCATTGTCTGAACCATACAAACGTACCCACAGTGATCTCGTAAATCCCTCTTTTACGCGTTATCTTCTCGGTCTGGTTCTAGATCTGCTGGTTCTACTATTTCGAAATCCCTATCAGTGGAAGAGCGTTGGCTGTTTTCAGACTCTGACTCCGACTGTTTATCGGCCGGCGGCGTTGGTGTTTCTAATTCAGATCTGTGAAAAGAAACAGGTTATTAGCTTTATTGCTAAGATCATTGGACGAAAGTTTAAAGGAACTCATGGTAACATAAATGATTAAGGTTCCAACATATAGATTTAGATTTTAGGGTTGTAACGGGAAAGACAAATGAAAAATTAAGACTTTTTCTTCTGTTTGAAAAATATGACAGTATATAGGAACGCATGCATAGTTTGTTTCATGAAAACAATATTTTAAATACAATAAATAGTTGTGGAGTTATCTTTATGTGGATTTCATCAGCATCGAAAAGACACTGTTGACCTATAAGCCTCTCCAAAAAAGGATTTTACAATCTCCGCTTTAATTAAACACGTTTGATATGGCATAGTTAAGACAGTTATAAATACATAACTTCAATTAATTTACTATTACAACTATTTATTAAGCGTGGAAGAGCTATGCTTCGGCACGAATGGGTCGGCTCGACCGGAATGATACCACGGCCTCGCAAAAAACCGGAGTGAACACTCACAACGTTGTGTTTTGCCGCGGGAGTAAGGTTACCGGAGGCCCATTTCTGCCTCCCTCTATCCCAAACTCAAAATCTTCAAATCCCTAATACCCAAAATAGCGGCAAGGCACACGTAACTGTTCCGTTGTTGCAGGTGTTTATGGGTGGCGCTGGTTGCTTACCATCAGGTAATTCGACTGCTCGTTTGAAGACTTATGAAAAAAAAACTTACTTGGTGTCAATAGTGGCATTGTCACTGGTGGTAACTGCAGTGCGGGCTGTGCTGGCTCCGTCGCTGGTCTCACTCGCCTTCTCTTCAAGAAGTGGCGTCTTCTCACTCTCATCATCAGATAACTTGTCTTTCTTCCTTTTCTTCTTGTTCTTCGATGACTTTTCAGAGTCCGCGCCAGGGCGGTATTCGTACTGTAATGTTTAATTGGGATTCATTAGAATATAGTAGAATATAGTTGACGTGGTGGCCCGGAGGTTAAGGAGCCCACTTCTCATGCATGAGGGTGTGGGTTCGAGACCTGGCAAGTACCAATGTGACTTTTTCCGAGTTATATGTACTTTCTATGATTATTTAGACACCACTGACATACGGTGAAGGTAAACATCGTGAGGAAACCTGGACTTATAATTCTTAATTATAAGTTTGAAATCGCCAACCCGCATTGAGCAAGCGTGGTGATTAATGCTCTAACCTTCTCCGTATGAGAAGAGGCCTTTGCTCAGCAGTGGGCACTTATAGGCTGATGATGTGATGATGTGATGTGAGAATATAGTATCAAAATTACCAACATCACTCATCATCACCTATAAGCCTACTGCTGAGCAAATGCCTCAAGGACGATTGAGCATTAGTCACCATGCTCGCTCAAGGCGGATTGGCGATTAGTCCATCATCGACGAAGTCTAAAGGATATAAAATACCACATGACCACAAAAAGGCGCTGACTAACCACGTGGGAGAAGCGCGTAAAATATAATTATAAACTAACTAAACTCATTTTATTTAATCAAAAATTTGCATAAATTATAGTTCTTTTTTAATGGGACAAGCCCACACCCAAACAAAACCGCAACTGCAATTCCTGTAAGCCAGTATCTACAGTAGATATAACCTTGAAAACACCGGCACACTGAAGTCCGGCGCGTCCCAGGGACATGAATGACTATCTCGGATCCCGTAACGAAATAAATCAAAAGATATTATTGGAGGAGAAAAAAAACAAAATAGTTTCCAGCGCTAAAATGCTATCCGCGAAAAGCCTAAAAAACGAAACATCATTTTATAGTCTATGGCCGATGCGCGCGCATAGGAGTAAGTACCTACTGATAATGTTTCCCGCCATTACGAATCATTTTTTACAACCCGTCTCGATTTCTCTTTTGAAATTTTTTATTTAGTATTATTTTATTCAGAAGTGTGGTGAAAAACGTCGTTTGATACACGTGTATATTGATGATGACCGTCCTCGGTTCCTCAAGATACTGAATAATAACCAACATTACACATTTCTACCATAATGTTACGATTATAAGTGCACAAAAATTCAACTTACTTTGTAAAGCGGCCAGAATGAAGCAAAGAATCCAACATCTTCAGTGAGGTTGGGTAGCAGCCAGAGATGATGTCTTGACAGAGTGAGCATCCACACGAGACAGAAGACCACTACTCTCAGTACCGTTAGACCTATTATAGTTACCAGGAATCCAGCGGCCGCGATACTCAAGTAGTAGACGCCCTTACTGTGAATATAATCACTGATTTATATTTATGATGTAACCCGGTAGTGGGTGAAGTGGATGCTATATTTTATTGAAAAAATATTTAGTATAATAAGGTAGGCTCACAGCTTATGTATACAAAGTAGTTAGAAGTATTCGTTATAGGTCTTATACATAAGCCAGTTTCCAGGTAACAAACATTCCTAAATTATGTTTATATGCAGCATTTATCTCAAGTTTCATTTCTCTTATATATGTATAGTAGTGTGTGATTTCCATCGTCTTTTCGGGAAGAATATTTTAGTTTATGTGGGCGAAAGTTTGACTAAGACTTGTTTACATAATAAAGATCATCAAAATTCACTTTTAAAATCTCTTAAATAACTTAAATAATGATTTCAATCACAAAATGTACGAGAAACTGGTTTGGATCTCGACTTTGATAACACTATCACACTCAAATAAACAAAAAATACAAAAACAATTGCCCAATCAAAACAAAAGACTACAAGGAAACAAACATAAAAGAAAAAAAAAACCTTTTAGTGTAAAATAAAATATAAATGTTCTACTTTGGATAATTATAATGTATAAAATCTTACCGGACTGTAGCTGGCCACAGGGGGAACATACAAACGGTTATAGTCCCGACGACTACCAGAATACCGCACAGCCAGTAGTACCAGGGTTTAGGATCATAGATCCAGACATATGCATCTAATGTGTCCAAAAAGACTTGATCCATGTGCATCTCTAAACGGATTTTTCGCTTCTTCTTTTCTTTTTCCTTTGTGTCTTTTGAGTCCTGGAAATAAGAATTCACATGACATTAACAGCCTATAACTATAATGATTACTTCTGAACAACGACCTCTTCTTACATGGTGAAGGATTGAGCATTAATCACCACAATCGCTTAAGGCGGATTGTAATCTGTGGAACTGTAATTCTAATCAAACTCACTCCCGGTTTCCGAAAGGCCGATCAATGTTAAAATCAATTTAATCTCTTGTCAAGTCATCTGATTGGTTGACTGAATTATCAATAACCAATCAGATGACTTGACAAGAGATTTAACAGGAGATTAGTTAATTTTAGCTTTGACAAACCTTTCAGAAACCGGGTGTTAGAATTAGAAATTAGAAGTGCAAGTTTCTTTGCTATATTTTCGTTTGCGATGTTCTCGGCGGTTCTGAAGACCCCCGATTTCCGATTGCGACAATCATGTCATGGAAGACACCTGCCTTTCCAAGGATGGTGCCGATTGCTTACCATCAAGTTATATGTTTAATCGTTTGCAGCCGTATCGCCTCATAAAAAAGTGGAAATTACTCTTCAATTAAATTTAATCTGTGTCTTGCTATTCTTACCTTTCCTTCGCAAGCACTGGCCTGACTCTTCTCGCCATCTTTTTCATCACCACTTTTGCTAGACTTCTCCAATTCCTTCTTTTTTGATTTCCCTTTTAATTCTTGTTCTGTGACTGGGACCTGAAATAAAAAAGTAAAAATGACGTTAGTTTATAAATTGGCGCCAAATCAAACGTCATTATAATTTCGCAACTTTAACATTCACTCAAGAACGAATGATATGAACGACTTTAACCCCAAACACGTGGTAGAATATAATCAGTCATTAGCATTATTCAGTTTATTACGGACACGTAATGTTTCTAGCTTCATTTTATCTTAGTATTTATCAGTTTAATAACATTTAATATATCAAGGTCAGGCTTTATATTGTAATACGTAGTTCAAGCAACAATGTTCTAAGTTCAATCTTATATTTTGTTTAGAAATTAAATAAGTTTTATCTTGAAAATGTAATTTTTTACTGACAAGTGAAATTAATGTCTTAATTTTTCTTGTTAATCAAGTCTAGCGCTAATTTTAATTTTTATTCTTATTTATATATTGTGCCTCCGATAAAGTACATTTCTTGAAATAATGAAACCTTACTTATTTTTTTTAATCAGAATTTATTCTTAACTGTGTTATTATTTATCATTAGTCCAGGTTCGTTTACAACGCTTAAACAAATGTTTTTTTTTTATTGGAAATAAAATCCCAACTAATATTATAAAACAAATAAGATATGTAATGATGACGATGAGATGGAATTATAAATAGTATAGTTCTAGACTAACTCAGGCGGACAAAGAAGGTCTCATAAATAGTTACATACCTTTTTGGCCCTATGGAATAATTTATGCAAAAGCATCTGATGAAGATAGTCTGTGACTTCGTGTCTTGTGGTGAAAATAGGGTTCTTTCCAGTCGCCCATTTTGATGTGAGAAGAGCGTCTACCGCTTTTGTGCCTGGAAAAATTTAACAAAATATTTATTAGCACTTCATTTGTTTTTATGACAGTTGGCTTCGTGGCGGTGGCCGTGTCCTTTGCTACGCAATAATGCTAACGATTATGAGCTCTAAACGTGTCATGAAATGAATCGAGTTGCTTCGTCATATAAATACTTATAAATATAAAATACATAATTGAGTATAACATAAAGATGAGCAGTGATTATGACGACAGTAATTTTAGGTAGACATTAAGAAGCAAAATATTTTCGCCACGTTATTTTAATTGGAAAAACCGACTAAGTATATAAACCCAACTGAACCGTCCAGAAAAAACATCATAACATTCCATTTAATATAACTAATAATACTTAAATCGATGACATTTAAAACATATTCTACGATCAGTTAATCGATGGTTCTAGAACGTTTTGTAGGCATCGTGACGTTTGTAGGTCAATGACCTATACTACAAAGAAAGTGTTGTAAAATGCCTACGACAGACGTTGTGACCTACATTCGCGGATTGATTCATAAAACGTATGCTTTAAAGTTAATATGTGTGTTTAACGGTTCAAGGTAGCCTTTCGAGAATTTTTTTTATGTTCTTTGCAATGTACTGTTCATTATTGGACATTGAGGGCCGATTTTTCAATAGTTAGAAAAATGTTTTCTGAGGAATAAAATTGTTGCTATCATTGTCTTATACAAACATTCTGACGCGACAGCATCATAATTATTCCCCAGGTAACTTTTATCTTACCATTGACAACTCAGCCCTCGTTACGGTAACTGTATTCTAACTTGAAGACGGTGTGATAATTATGTTCTATTTTACTAAAAAAACTTGACCTTTATCCAGCTCGTGAATTACAAAATTGCTAGTGTGTGTTCCTGTTGTATCCCTCAGTAGTGAAATCCCTAACCCAAAAGGCTTTTTTTTGTGAGTGTATAATCATCAAATGACTTCTCCCGCCCAGGGCCGGGCGGGAGGGAGTGTCAGACTCTTGCTGACTAAAAACCCTTGTTCCTTATCCTGCTCTGGGCCGAGGTCGCGGTGCCTCATTGCGCTTACCCCGCAACCCCGGCTGTAACCCAAAAGGCTGGCATTTTGATAGCAACTCCACAACGTGATTGCAACGTTTTTTGTGTTGTGGGTGTCCAATGTCAAGGAGCTGCGTAGATAGCTTACCATCAGGTTACTTTTTTCGAACGAACTATCCTATTTTTTATGTGATAGAGACGGTAAACGTGCAGGCTGATTACCTGATGGTAAGCAATCAGCGCCACCCATGGACAGCCGCAAAAACAGAGGAGTTACGAGTGCGTCGCCGACTTTTTGCGGATTTGGGATTAGGAGATCTAAGGATTGGGGGTGAGGAAGGATTGGGCCTCCGGTAACCTCACTCACAAGGCGAAACACAACGCTGTGGTTGTTTCACGCCGGTTTTCTGTGAGGCCGTGGTATCACTCCGGTCGAGACGACCCATTCGTACCGAAGCATGGCGCTCCCACACTTATCTATCCTTTTGTTAAATTAACAGAAAATTGTTCATATCATGGACCAAAAACAACATTCCATTTCTAGAAACTAACTAAAACAGCTTTTTGTGCATTACAAACGAGAAATTTCATGGACTTTCGTACTTAATCGATGTATAATGCCCTCTGAAACGACCTCAAGTGCCGACCATGACCGTGAACGCGAAGGTCGGACAACAAAACGGGCAATTGATGACCTCACCTAAATATTCAATTGATGTTTTTATAGGAGCGAAATCTTTAAAAGTTTATTTTGCTTTAAATTTATTTTCTTTTTTGTACACCTAACTAACCTTCTTCATCAAGAGTCCAAGAGAATCTTTTGTTGGACTATGGCCCTCCTCTACATAAGAGGGGTTTTAAGTAGGTGGGAAGAGAAGCAATGTAGACAAAATATGTAGGCAGTAAAAGTACAATGTAAATTATTAATAAATATATGTATATTTTACCTTTTTAGTTATAGCGTTTAATGGTTTACGTGACAGTTCGTCGAGGAACTCGACTTGTTAGGAATCTTGCTATCATATCACTCATAACGTGAATAAGCCTTATATAAATTATACAAAATTAAACGAAATAGTTATCTAGCATTCTTGTTAGCAACCCTAACTAGATATATTTTTTACAATTGCACAATTTATTAAAATTGGTAGATATATTTAGGATTTGGCAAGTCCAATTGCTACCATAATAGGTGATAATCGTCACCATAAAGTTACCATTCGTAGAATAAATGGACGTAACAAAACCTATTTTTAAATTTAAACATTACCAAGAGAGAACTGGCTGAAAATAAACTTACATAAAAAAATAAAAATAGAAAGCAGTCCGTGTGAGAATTCCTTCGATATTTAAAAGGTTTGGTTTATTACGGCGGAAGCTTGGAAAGAGAGAGAACAACATAAAGGAAATGCAGCGACGTCGCTTGGCAAAGCGCCACATCGCATTGGGAATTTTATAAATATTTCCATTAAAATATTATCTTGATTTCAGTAGGCTTTGTGAGCACTGAGCTTTTTTGTTGTACCGTATTTAGTGTTACGGAGATATTAAATCAGATATTTGGATTTCTGTTAAAAAAACTATATAACTTTTACCCTACAAATATTACTTATAGTCTGCAGTTTCGTCATCTATGGCGCAATATTTACGAATTAAGTACGTTAGATCTCAACCTTCTTTTAGAATATGCATTGGTAAGAACTGTATGAAAATCTGTTAATTAGTTTTTGAGAACAAAAACACGCATTAGAGGATGCAGATGTCTAAGAACTCGAAAAACTAATTCGAACGCGACCGAATAGTTCTATATTTCAAAATGGAATCTCAAATGTTTAGTCTATGCCATCGTCAAACGTCATATCGATCGTCATGTCTGCCAGTAATTACCCATTGATATCTGGCATAAGATATTCAAGAAAACGATTATGGGGTAAATCTATACATAATACAGTAAAATATTCTGTTTGTTTTGGAGTTCGATAAAACCTTCAAATACTACTTGACGAAATATTTTATTGTAAGTTTAATGTTTTTATGTCGGTAAACACATATCGCCATCGCCAAAAATTCATCCCCATTACTTCAGCTTAATCTATACTAATATTATAAAGAGGTTATAATTTGTAAGTTTGTATGTAGGGGGTAATCTTTGGAACCGCTGGTCGGATTGCAAAAATTCTTTCACTGATAGATAACTACAATGTTCCTGAGTGCTATAGGCTATAAAACATCATGCTACGATTAAATGGAGCCGAGCAGCGGGTGAAACCGCAGCAAAGTAGGTAGTTTTATTTTAAATCACTAGCGACTCGCCCCAGCTTCGGACGAGTGCAATGCTGATACTAAATTTCTCCACTATTTAATGGACGTTATTATACGTATTATAAACCTTCCTCTTCAATCGCTTGAAATCCGTTACGTAGTTTTAAAGATTGAAGTAAGTATACATAGGATATATGGACAGAGAAAACGACTTTGTTTTACACTAAGCAGTGATTGATATAGCTGGAAACTTGTCATCTTTTATGCGTCTGAGAAACGATATTTCTTTTCTCTATTACATAAAAGTTTTCAGAACGACTGCCATCACTGAGATTTAAGCAGTTATACGATACAAATTTAGAATTACTAAGTATCATATAATTACGAAATAGGTTTGCACTTTCTCAGAATATCGGATAAAATGGCAATATTCCAGAATGTTCTAGAGCTTGAATTACTTAAATATACTTTGGGACAAAAGGTTCAATAACATCAAAGATTGTTAAACCCAAAGAGAGTTCGATACGCTATATCGTTTTGGTATTAGAAATTCCATTTGTAGGTGACCTTTAAAGAGTGTAGGAGGTTTCTTCATATCCTAAGTATTTATTGTAGGCGAGAACAATCAAAACAACATTTAATACAAAGGCTAGCTTAGATTAGTATGGTTTCTTGGTAATTTTGTACTTTTGTTCAGCTTAACTAAAATTGGTGTTTCACAGTTAGCTTACGCATCTAAATCTAAGACCATATTTTTAATCTATGAATATGTCAGGCGCCATATTGTCTACGGTAACGCTAGTTGAGTTCCCGCCATTTTGCGTTCAGTCTTTGACTGTGCAGTGCAACATTGTGTAAAAGTATGGTTAAGCCATCCGACATTGGTGGTGAAGAATATATTCGGCCCTACCCGTCAAGTAAGAGTTGATCAAGGCACTACAGATGAAATAGAAGTTCTTTTATAAACCTGAATCTATCAGCCTGTCAAGAGAAGACATGCCTGTTGTGTTGTTAGGTTAGGATTTAAGGTAAGGAATTTGCATATTGATGAAGATAAAACTAATTATTTGACTAATGTCGTTTCATTATCTAACTGACAATCTTAACAGATTTCTTATTTTCGTACCCGACTTTCATCTCTATAAATCAAAATATAAAATACATGATTGTAAAATATTAGACTAAAAAAACTTACCTGTAAAGTATTCCACATGGTGGTTTAGAAACTTTGTCTTCTTCGTAGGAACATTGGCTTTAAGCCATTTTGCGACTGCATACTCTTCGCTCGTGGCCTTTTCTGACTCGGCCACTTCTCCAAACTCCTAGAAATCATAGAAAACTTACTTCAATATAAATTTTAAACATTAAAACGTTTCTGGAAAGATGTGCATGGTATATCAATAGTTTTGGCAAGGTTAGTAGAAGTAGTCGTAAAGAGAGATTACAAAAAGTGTTGTTTTGACAATTCAATACATCGGACGTCGGTATGGTTTTTGCAGATAAAGAGACCACGTTTCATGTCTTATCTAAAGGATAAAGAGCCTTTTGTTGGACCTTTCATTTCTAGGGGAATACTACCTGAAAGAGGATCGGTTCAGTGTTTGTTTCCTTGGCAAATATAATTGAGAAGTAGACCTTTTTTTACAGCTTTCTAAGCCTTATTCAAAGCTAAGGTGTTCTTAAGAGAAACTTTTGTTAGAACTTAGAACCCTCTGTACAATTTTATTTATTTAAGGCTGAATCAAAGAGTGTTCAGCTAGTCGGTAACATTATTCACTTTTCTGTCGATTCGCCCACATACACATTTACATTTTTCAGTTCGCACCCATTCTGCGTACTACATATAAAGGCTTGACAAAGATTTTTGAAGAAACGAAAGCATATTTCAATGTACAATTACCTACAATTCTAGTAATCGTATCATCAGTTATTTATATAACAACAAACAATGAAGGTATTGTGTATTATCGTAATGTTTAACGATGGTTGTGACGTCATTGTCATAAACGAGGTTTGTTGGAAATGGAAGACGGTGTTATTCATGGCCAGTTGTAAAATTGACTTCGTTGATGTAATTTTACTGTTTAAACCTTTTTATGCGCAAACTAGCTTCCGCACGCGGCTTCGCCCGCGTAGTATGTTGATAAAAAGTAGCCCATGTCCTATTCCGGAGTGTATCATATGCCTGTGCCAAATTTCATCCAGATCCGTGCAGCCGTTTTGGCGTGATTGAGTAACAAACAGACAAACTGGCAGCGACTAGCAGTCATTATTATTCTTTATTTTTTGTTTTATGTCTTAATCGTGATAATATGTTTTTTAGCTTTAACTTATACTATTGCTATCTTTATTTCTGTATGATTTTTGTTACATCGTGACTTTTGCTTATTTAATAGTTTATCTTTTTATATAAAAATATAAGCCTCTTTATCCTACCTAGCTATATTTTGCATGTTTCTGTTTTTCTGTTGATTTGAGGACGTTGTGGGTTGCATTGTGTTACATCCATTTTGGTTTATACTTCCAGTGTACACTATTATAATGTAACTAGCTGTTTTTTTTCTCTACACAATAAAATAAAACCCTCAACAACAACAATCTTTGAAGCCACGCCGTAGATATTATTTCCTTTAGTAGGTACCTTTGTACAAAATGGCGTGCGTCCAACAAAACACCGAAAATCCTACCTGCCAATTTTTCTTTGTTTTCTAAAGACGTCTTAGTTATATTTCTCTCTCGCTTTACAAGACGAGAAATACAACAAAAAGCAACAAAGACCTATCCCAACTTAACTTTAAACTTTCCCTTTCAAAATAGTTCGCTTGTCTAACTGTACTTGAACCGAGATGCGTGAGCGCAATTCCAATCACCGTTTCATTTTTAAATAAAGCGCGCGTTCCATTATTCTTTTTTATTCGAATTCAAACAGTAGAAATAAAATATTTGGATTTTGTAACCTTATTTTTTGTTGTACCTTTTTAAATAAAAATCAATGTGTGCATTTTGATCTCCATGCATCTCTAACGATTGATCTATTTCAATAATACAAGTTACGAGACCCCCCTAATCGTTGCATTGATGGTCGAAAGAGTCTATATTATCTATAGGGAAGCCGGTATTAGCACTCGTGCAAAATTAGGGCACTTACATCACATTTAATCATTTCTACGAGTAATTATTATAACAATTCTCATGGATCAGTCTGATAAATTCAAATATTAGCGCGCACAATATTATTTTATTACTACACATGTATGTATGTATGTATGTATTTATGTATGTATGACAGTTGTCACGATTTTACACTAGGTAATAGGTTTAACCTTTGTACCTAATTACGTTGTGTATGTCGTATGACTATAACATAAAAACCAAATCATTCGTTCATACATAAAATCATAGCGTCATCTTTAAATACTATATTCGCATTGATAGGAATGTCTTTGTAATGATCCAAACCAGGGACAAGTCTCTAAGTTGTGTGTGCAACTTCTTACAATTTATATTTCAATAAACTAAAACCACACTGCTATACATTTTATACTGTTTACAATAACACAAACAGATACATAAATCTCCAAAAATTAAATACAGGTGTATAAAAAATCGGCGCAAGCGCACGTACGAAGCGAAAACACCGACATTGACGTCACGCACACACGTAGAGCCGTGGCCATGACTTGGCCTTGTTAATGAACTTGTAAATTGTGTCTATCTAGTAATCAAGATACACCTACGATACAGGAAGATAGTAGGATGAATGGATGACGTCCAAACGTAGCGGATGTTTTGGATGTCTCGAAAGTAAATACAATGAAAACACACGTTTCTGGATAAAGAAAATTAGATTTGAATTATTCATACGTTCTACTTACTCAAATTCATAGGAAAACGTGTTTATATTTACAGAATATGTTTAGCAAAAACAAAATAAAAATAAACAAACAAAATGGTTCCACATTTCCTTGGCTTTGGCAAAAATAAAATACCATGATACTGTTACGCGACACAATTCCTTTGTGCGTTTTTTCTCAACATTGCTCCGTATTAACACTGATTTATTGCAAAACGTTATTTAAGAATTAAATTCCTAGTTTTAAAAACATTAAAGTTTATTAAACTTTAACAAAATTACACCAAAAACACTGATTCATTCACGAACACAACACATTTGTCTAAACGAGACCATAAGACCGTTATTCACATCTTTTACACTTTTTATATAATATTAGGTATAAAAATAACAGATAAGATTTTTTTTATTAAAAATATGACTTACAAATTCTCTCATGTTAGAACGCTGTTTCGCATGCAACAGTTCGAACTGGAGTGACAGTTATAAGGCTAGTAGTAGTAAGACGGGTGAAAGTGGGCCACCGGCCCATGGAACAAATTAATGGGAAACATTGCCAACCGTTTGAAAATAAGTAAAAATAAAATAAAACATAAGAAATGTGTGGACGGTTCTAGAAAGTATACAGTATATTTGTGATTAAAAATTAATTGAAAATATGTATGTATTATTTGGAGAATCTTTTTAAAGAATAAAGTAAGTACAAGGTACTTATGTTTTTTTTGTTTTGGTTGTTTTTGGCGCTCGTTACTTTGGCAACACTGTAATTTCGGAGGAAGTTATAAATGTATTATAATTGTTTCGAATTTTTTAATTTTGGTCGGATGATTGACTGCCATGTAAAATAGCAATTTTAAGGAGATTGCAGATTTATTTATCAAATGTTTTCAAGAGTTTTTACTGTTTTTAGGTAACGTGATATACTGAAAAGATTGAATAGCTGTTATTATTTTTTTTAATTCTTGACAATGATATCGACAAACAGGATAAGAAAATGGCGACCGAACAAACATTTTATTAAGGGGAAAAGCGTAAAAACGCAACGTGATGCAATAATAGGAGAATTGTAAAGGTAAATTTTCTCAATATTTAGAACGCTAACAAACTAGAATCGAGCAAAACCGATGATATCAACAACCGTCGAGTATTATTATATGACATCACGGTCAATTGGACTCGCCCATTCGTATTGTAATGCAATTTCAGTACTAACAGCTGCTGTTTTATAAAAATGCAATGCACTGAAACTAGCCAATTGTGACTTTCCAAAATGCATAACAGCTAAAGTAGGACCATGATAAGTAAGGCAAAAATTTTTTTTTTTAATTCTAAGGCCTCCAAAACCTCTTAAAGACTCTATCTTAAGTTAAGTTTTTTGCTTTTATTTCGGCAAGAAAAAGCATCCATTATTTGTCAATTTCATTTATTTCAGTCCAAAAAAACCTATAATTAATGGAGATAGGTTGCCGCAAAAAATGAGACGAAATGGGGTCATGTTTTGGTCATGGTCATGAATTGAGGATTGCAGTATTCCACTACCTATCATTGCATCTATTTTTTATTAAATCGCTTACACAATGTATAAATTACTGACGTATGTATGCGTTAAAAATTAACACTGGTCAAACGTCAACCGTAGTAATCATCTATGGACGGTTTCGTCACGGTTGAGAAACGAGCATTTAACTGAGTACATAGTTGATAAAACTTTATGACACGAGGTTTGGCTATCCTATGAAATCGATTAAGTAAATCCTATTTTAACAAACTAATTCAACGAAAAATCTTTCTTAGACTTTAAAAGCAAATGCGGATGCAAGCGCAACAACGTTTCACGAATCCGGCTTTGAGTAGAAAAAGGAACGAGGTGGTGTATAGTAAAGTAAGAGTCTAATACTTCATATCTACTCACCCAGGGCGAGAGAAGACATTTTATTATTTCCCTCTCTCAAAACTCACTAAAAGCAAAAATTATAATTTTGCCAAATCAGTTCAGCCGTTTTCGAGTTTTGAACTTAGCAACGAATAAAAGACACATACAGATAATATATTACAGAAACCCAGTATAACTATACACTTAATTGAGCTTGATGATGCAAAGGTAAATCCTATTACATATTTATTTGGAGTCGGAACATGATATAACTTATACAATGACGATTGAGGAAAAATCCGTATGTACTTTAATAAAATTATATGCTCTCTTTTCCTTGTTAAATTACATTGAAAAAGCATTTTAGAAATTTACCAGATAATTGGGAAAATAAATGCTATTTTATGTGAGTAAGATTCAAATTCTATTTTATTCTACTAATAATTAATAATGACCCTTATGTAGCATAGTGTCGTGATAGCGGATGATGGAAATAACGTCACTTTTTGACATTAAATAAAATAATTTTTGCTCGATATGCTTTCAGTATGATGACGTCAAGTTGAATTTTTATATTATCTTTGCTCGATAATTAGGTTCGATATGCGAAAGTGTATGTTTTCTGCAATGAACAGGAGATGAGGGTCTCCTATCCCCAAAAATCATAGAGCGATTCTATTAGAAAATCACTCATTGCCCACTGCCATACAATCTACATAAATCTTTCTTCCATAGACTAGAACGGAACTAATTTTTATAACATTGATAAGACGCCACATATAGAACACCGAGTGGCCAGTGCTATGTTGAATAAAAACATAAAAAGGTTTACATAACAACCATTGTTCGTATCTTAAATTATTATGGCGTGTGATAAGGATATCAGAATGTAGGACATGTCATTCTGTGGACTCTTTTTCAAAATAATGTTTAATTTGCTGTGCAAGTGTTAAAGAATTCTATATGAACTTGAAGTGTATGTGAATACACCAACAAATTTGTAAATGTTGCTTTGACTGCTTGTCTAAAATTTTTGGCATTTTACGCACACTTGAATAAAATGGGCAATAAACTAAATTCTTTTCAATTGGAACCATACAATTTCTATTCTAATAAAACCCTAAACATTCATGGCCTAAAGTTCACTACTAACCTTTCAATCGTCGTTGAGACACAATAGTAAGACAAAAAAGGTGCGCGAACGCCGGCGTACGCTTGGGGTCTCATTAATGAAGATATCAAAACCAGTCTAAAAGAACATAAGTTACTTTTAGGACCATCTTTATGTAATAACCTAATCAACTTTTGTGGCTGATAGTTCAATACAAATTATGCTCTATTTTCAAATTTGTTAGGCACATAGTGGATATTGAGACATTGCGAAACAAACCCCTTGTTAAGATACAAAGAAAAAAGTTGTAAAATATTGCATATTACATTTACAATAGTTAGATGAAAGTTATCTGGGGAATAATTATGATGCTGTCGCGTCAGAATGTTTGTATAAGACAGTGACAGCAACAATTTTAATTCTCAGATAACATTTATCTGACTATTGAAAAATCAGCCTTTAATAGGATAATGCTTCAAAATAGGAATATTATAGATAAGTATAGAGGTATAGATACTGTTATTCATTGACATCAATTTACAAAGTAAATATCAGACAGATGGCTTACATGTGTAAATCTGAAAGATTGTTTACAAAGATGTTGTTAATTGCTGCTAAATAAGTCATGTACTTGTGAAATACTGAATGGTAAAGTTCTATCTAGTCTGTCTTATAATAAGTGTTATGTTATCCAAACTAATATTATAAATGCGAAAGTAACTCTGTCTGTCTGTTTATCCTTTCTTCAGTCCTAAAGTACTGAACCTATTTGTGTAAAATTTGGCAAGGACATAGTTTGGAACTCGAGAAAGGACATAGGATAGTTTTTAAAACAAAAATCTGCAGGAAACCACTATTCCACGCAAACAAAGTCACAGGCAAAAGCTAGTAATTAATATTGAGCTAAGACATAATATTTAGCTAAAACATAGTTAACACCCAGTGGTTTAGATTGTAGTTGGATGCCTAATATTGCAATAGAAGCTACTATTTTTTATTATTCAAATGCTGTTTGACTAGCAAGATATGAGTATAGCCAATCAAATTTAATGTAAGTACATGGTGTAAAACTGGCTAAATCCCTATTAAATAAAAGAGGAAAGGTTCATACTGGTGTCATCTGGTTAAGGAAAAGGTGAGATGGTAAGATGAGTTTTTATGCCCACAGGAGGAATTTATTGTAGAAGAATCACTAGGGACAGAAAATGGACAATTAACTTGGTCCTTAGTATCTGTTTTTAAAACGAAATCATTACCAAGGAATATTAAATGTCTCTGAGTAGGTCTGCTAGGCTCTTAACTTCACACACCTGTGCAAATGTGCTGTGCACACAGAAAAATTCTAACTCATTGGAAAGAACTAAAAATAATAGCATTTTAACCAAAAATAATAGAAACTATGGTGATTTATAGTGTAACCAAAAACATAGCGTAAAAATGTGCAAGTGTAAAATTAAGTAAATAATAAATCTAACCTTTTTTCGCTGTAAACAAAAATATAATTAATAAACTATCATGCACTTTGTCTAGACACAGAGTTTGAATTTATAATGAGTGTTTGATTTAATTGTAGGCATTCTAAAAGCAACATAGACAACAAATGAAACTAAGTCTTTAGTACTTAGTTTTGGACTTAAATTTATATTTCCTACAGATTTATTTTTGCACTTTTCGTAATATTAAATCACAGATTATAAGAACAAGTGTATGTAAAAGAAATCTATGCAGTTATGAAAAGTAACAAAAGGATGATTGTTAAATTATGGTACTGAGATGACCTATAAGCTCAGTTGCATCTTTCAGTAGTTTACAGAAAGTCTATTTTTGGTAAATGTCAACATTAAATAAATTTTAACAGGTTGACGTGACACGACGGTAACATCTGGTTAATTGGTGAGGTGTCACAGTAAACAAAGAATTCCCAAAAATAGCTGACACTGCGCTCATACAATGACGCTAATCTCGAAGAACTACGCACAAAACCCGTTGGTTTTCAGCCAGGCAGTGAACTAAACATTAAATCGAAATGGATGCGTCATTCGATAAATACCAAGAGCAACTGTAAAATTATGGGAATTCATCCAAATTTCGATCAAAGAGAATTATTCTCCGCACATGCAGCTAAACAAAGACTTAGAAAAACAAGAGAATAATATTTTGCTAACGGGGAAAATCAACACGCCGCATCCGCATTATAGAAACTTGGACAAAAACAATAAAGGCGAAGTGTAATTTATTATTTAAATTCAACTTAAATCAGTACCTAAATATTAAATCTATCTTACCTCTTTACGCTTTTTGGTTTTCCTTTTGTCTGACATTATAAATAAATTTTGCCAACGTAGTCTTGGTTGTCTGGAAATCTATTCGCTTTTCTTGTTTCTGACGCTGACACTTTTTTGTTGACAGGTCACCATCACCATAGGTAACGAATGAGCAGTGATTGAATGAGTGAATGAAAATAGTAGCTTTAGAAGTCTCTGTTACACGAAACTATTATACAAACACTTTGCTAAAAGACAAGTTTCCCAGTTCCCTACATGGTAAAGAAAAGACAGATGTCAGTGTCAGTGTCACCTATGTCACTGTCAAGTTAGTTGAACAATAATTTCAAGTTTCATCATTTCAAAGTAAAATATCCGTGCAATCAATATTTTTTCTTATTACGTTCGTTTCATAAGACTGCGGCGGTCCGTGCGTGTAGTGTGGTAGTACAGTTCAGCTTCCTAACCTTAGGTGAACTCACGTTTACGGTCACCTTCTCCAAACGGAAAGTTTATGTGAATCTAATACTACAAAATTCTGCCTACTGATCATTAGATTGTTAGGCGACGATAACTTATCCGTTTTATTGTCTTCATTATCGAGAACTATAAATCGCGAGTGTATATAATCTACTAGTGAAATAGTTGTTCATAAAAGTGCTACAAAACATTAATTCAGTTGAAGACTGCAAGATGTCTGGAGCGACAATGAATGGACATCAACTACCTGACGGTAATACATTAACTATTTACGTAATAATATCTTGCAATAGTCATAGGTAGCAGAATATGAAACTCATCTATTTTAATGTGTCATAATCCTAGAATATATTGCTTTATTGTATCCAGTTTTTTTTATTAATAATCTATGTTTTAAATCTTGTTAAGGCAAAGATATTGTGGGTTTCTCTTCCAAAAGTAACTAAAAAAATCTTAGGAAATGCTAAACATAAATTATCCACATTGATTTATTATTCTTCCAAATTCAATTTTAATTTGGAACTAGGTTTTATAATTTTATTGTTATTAAAATAAATAATACCAATTTCTAACTCATCACTGAAGTATGTAATAAAATTAATATGAAAATAAATATTAATAAAGTCTGTTTAAAGAAGTGTAGGCAATTATAATTATCTATGGTTTCTTTATAGTAATGGTTATTATTTAGTTGTCAAATAAAAATTATTACCATTTTTCTGATGTAAAAAAGTAATAACTTTATTCTTGAGGTAAAATATACTGTAATCAAACCATTTGCTGAAGCAAAATATACAAGTAAATAGTTGAAACTAAATTATAATATTTACTCTGGTAAGGCAAAATTGATTAACAACCAATTTGGTTTAATAATTAATTATTAAATATATTTATTACCTATTTGAAAAAATCTAAATGAATGCAACAATACATATACCTAGTTGCCAGTTTGTATTTCAACTTTAGTCACAATTTTTAGGCAATCTGCAAAAAAAGATCTTAGGTACAATTTAAAAATAATCTAGATCACTATGCAACTAAAAAAGTTACTTTCAAAACTACAGTTATTTAACCAACTGTCACTGTAATTAGAACAGTCTACTGTATGTTTAAATCTACATTTTAAATTGACTAATGAGGTTACATTTACTTGTATTATTGAATACTACTAGCATTGGTTACAAATGTTAGGAAGTTGGAGCCTCATCTAGATAACTCTATAATATTGATGTGTGAAATGGCTGTATCTTCCTAATTGCAATTTATGTTTCTTTATTAATAGACCATTTGTTATTAATATCAAGCATAAAACAGCTGTAACTGATAAATTGATAAACCTAGGACCTATAGGACCTATAGGCCTATAGGACTTAATACTGCAGTAGCGCCATCTAGAGAGTGCAAAATCGTAACCTTAACTAATTAGGTCAACAATTGTTGTTTTTATCTTGTAAAGAAAATTTAGAAAGAATATAAATTAGTAGCTTAGCCAATATTAAAAAAAAACCTTCATGTAAACTCTTTTTCTCTTCATGTAATTAGCTTTTTTTAATATACACCCATGATATCATTTTATCAGAATGAAAATTCTGCATTTCAAAAAAATAATACTTGTTATTTTAAATTACTGTACTAACACAGACTTTCCTTGTGAATCATGTAACAATCATGCAATGTAGAATGTAGGTACAAAGTCCAACATACGGTTTGCCAAGATTTTATCACATGGTTGGAAGTGATAACTTCCTATTTTCAATGTTACTCACACTGTAATCTCTATCATACCACCTGGACAAACATTACAAGTGGAAATTAATATTTGAAAAATATATATTGTATTTTTTTTTCTTATTTGAATGATGAATTTGCACCAAGATTGTGTTATGTGTGATTTCACATTTTCTATTCCATATGATTTTTTTACTTAATTGGCTGGAAAAATATGTTATACTTATTACATGCCTCAATTGTACAATCAATGAATTAATATTTTTTAATATTTTACTGTATGAAAAGTACAAAGATTTATCTTTGAATATTATGTAAATGTAATTTAAATGTCAATATCCATATTGAAGAAATTATTTAGATTCTGTTCTCTTCATTTACTACAGTAAACTGTAAAACGAAAGAAAAAAAAACTGTGTGTGTGAAATATTATGATAGAGCGTAATGCTATGTATAATTAGGTATATGTGTTATTAAGTAGGTAAGTCAAGAAAAATCTGGATCGCCAATCGATCGTTTTTGCAGTCAGATCTAGTTTGAGTATGAGTATATCGCGTGTGCATCGCGTGGTTCAAACATGCGATAGGTATGTACCTACGCAAGTTGATGACCTTTTTACTTACCTACTTAATTTATTATTATGTTGTATGTATATTTTTATTTTATTTATTGAGGGATAATAAACAACTACAACATAAATAACACAATATGGTTTACAGCACTTAAGATAGTAATGTTGCAGTCCACTGCATTATCCACAGATAAACATATTTAATGATCAGTGGTTACTACTAGACAAGCGTCACCAAAATTAACAAATAATTAATTTTGGTGACGCTTGTCTAGTAGTAACCACTACATATTGTAATTTTAAGTAGGTAGAATCTACACACTCCAAAAAATATTTAAAAATCGATCGAAAAATTGTATTATAGCAATCGAGTATACGGACCTGAATGGTTAGCAGTTGGCGTTGTATGGACACCCTGAACACTAGAATAAATAATATGTAGACGAGTGCATTGCCGGCCTTTTGAGTTTGAGAATTGGGGATTTGGTGATAGGATATGGCAAGGGGATTGGGGGTTCGGTAACAAATCGTGAGCTTCGTTCCATGCCGTGGTATAACTCCTCTCGAGTCAGCCCATTCGTGCTAAAGTATTGTTCTTCGCACTCTTGAACATTTTATGTGTAGGTATTTTCCAAAAAAATATTCCGAGAAGTTCAGTTCATTTAAATCAATCAGCTAGTCAGAAATTCGTAATAAGAAGGAATAGCTCGAAGCATTTTTGTAGTGATTATGGGTAATAATAGGCCTTAATTACATTTCATTTGACCTTGATTCATGTTAAATGGTCTGTTTACGCAAAAACTAACTTTGTGACGTGGGCATTTGGCCGTTTGATTACACTGACTGGCCCGACGAACTTTGTATCTTCCATTTGAAAATCAATACATAAATGACGTACTTCCATAGGTATTATTGTTAGGTAAAACATGGAACCGGCCCAATCTTTCCAACCATCATTCGGAAACCCTTCTCAAATCTCCAATTTCTCAATCGGCAAGAGACTGATAATTCCTATATAGTGTTTTTAATTTTCATGCTCAACACCGATTGGTACCCATCAGGTAAATGGATTGCTCGTTTGCCCCATTATGCCTTAATAACGGTACTAACCTAGTTGCTGGTCTGTTGTATGTTCGGAGACTACAGCAAGTCCAACGATTCAAAAATCATGGAAATAACTTCATCAAACTACCCAATTAACTGGATTTTCCGGCGAACTCCGTACCGCCTTAAAATCACCTAATATTTGAAACCTGTTCTTTTAAACCTCTGGATTTCCAAGATAATTTGAAGGCCAAAATTAGCCAGATTCAATGTTTTATTTAATATTAATTAAATTTATTTGGACTCATTCATTACCTATTTACAAAATAAATCACGGACGGATTGACTAGATCCCGGTAGTATTATTCTGTTTTAAATATTTTTTTTTGTGCACAGGTAATGCCGAAATGTTCTGAAATGCGTTAAAATTTTATCACATCAATGTTTTAGTTAGCCTCAAAAGTTGCCAAACATGTTATGTACTTAAAAGCAAGTGTCCAAAGTTCAAAATTTAATATCAGTTGACGTCATAGAGGCCAAACATATTCAGATGAAATTATGGCAATTTGCAAGTCACGGTTATAAAAAAAAACGAACTTTGCCCGCCAAAATAGTACTAAATGGCGCCATTTTTGCACAAACAGAATTCGATATCTAAGTCGTGTGGTTTACGTAACGTTATTAAAATATTACCTTTATATGATTTTATTACTTATCGCGTTCAACCAATCTAGCTTTTTTTAGGTACCGGATAGGGCTTCGTAATGAGTAGGGTTTTCTATAATGTTTTATTTTATTTATCAACATAACAATAAACCCATTAATTGAGTTTGCCAGTCACCCCCTGCCTGTTTATCCGACTGATTAATATTGGTCAGGGGCAGGGGCCATAGTATTTCCATTGTTATCATCTACCAGTCCATAGCCCGCCCACCCATAACCATATAATTTTCTACCATATTGCATAATAGCCCTGCATCAACTGGGGTTTGTCCTTGGGTGCCCTTTTATAGTGCATACAGGGACAGCTTGGCTTTGGGCCGGCTCGGGCAGTGGGCCTCCGCGAGTTGGCTCTGTGGTCCCGTGAATGGAAAGGAACAAGATATAACAAATGGCGTCGTACTTAGGTACAAATTTATCGCAAGTAACTATTATTACTAGTGAAATAATCACGTTAACATATTTTTTCTATGAAAATGTGTGTAAATTTGTATCCAAAACAACTTATACGTATTGATTTTACCTATACATGAAGACATTTTTCCAAGTTTTGAAAAAACGCATCCGCATTCTTCAATCAATTTTGTCACTTGACAATAAAATCATGCGATTAAATTATCTTGCATGATTCATTCTGTCTTAGTTAATTTGGAAGTATATAAAGTATATAAATTGCTATCTATTTCAGTCAAATGTCTATCTAAGATCAAAGTCCAAAAGTTTATCTATTAAGGTGCAACTACGTTTATCTAAACGCGCGGTAATAACTTGAGTTTTGTGAATACTTGCAGAAGTGTCCTGATTTCTGCACGGTTTTTCCCAATACTACATGAAATTGTTTTGCAAATTCTGCCAACTGTGTCGCTCGCAGTATCGGTCGCAAAACTAGCCAATATATATCAAACCCCAAGTGTACGCCGGCGTTTCGCGAACCTATTGCCTTACTTTTGTGTCTCATATTACCACGACTGAAAGGCTATATAATCTATTTTATTCAGATTCGCTCTTCGTAGGAGTTTTTACTTGGGACTGTAACAAAATCCGTCCTAACAAACTTTCGCGTTTATAGATAATATTAGCAGGATAATTATGGCAGATTGGCCTTTTCAAAAGGTCACGATTTTCTGGAAACGTTGAATAAGTGAAAGGAAGTCTAACAATAAACTCAAATAATATCTAATAATAGCAACAGATATCGCATGTTTACAAAACTTAAATCGTCAAATAAAGAATTGCTATAAATAGTACTCATTTAAATACTCATTATCATAATCATGGGTAATTTTTAGATTTTAAGCGCCTCGTGCAAAATTCGTCACGCTTCTACACGTTCAGAATTATCCAAATATTTTTTTGTATGAATCCTATAAATAATAATGAGAATATTCATTTCTGTCAACTACGACATACCAGCTAATTCGCGTACTACTTATATACGTACTTAGTATTGATTATAGTTCAACGACATCGAATTCGATTTTTGTCAATTACATTTTTTTTGAGGATTGTAAATCATCGAATGACTTCTCTCGCTGAGGGTATGGCGAGAGAGAGTGGCAGACTCAAAACCTCTCCGTTCCTTCTCCTGTTCTGTGCCGGAGGCCGCGATACCTCATTGCGCTTGACCCGCGACTAAGTACAAATTACTTAAATGACAATTTGCGACGATTTTGGGAGATGACGATAAGTTTTAGTGGACAAGATGGGATACGAGATACGAAATGCTTTGCTTATATTTAATACGGATACGCACTAGACGTCGTAGAGTGGACGACCTACGGCCACAGTAGGGCGCGGCCTGCGGACGACAGACTCGGGGCGTCTTGTCGTCCGACCGGCAGCAGGCCTCTCGGCGGCGGCGCCGTGTTCCGCGCGCGCCTCATAGTGAAGACCTGCGGTACGGGGTGACGGAATACGGATGCTAAGAGTCTTTATGTGGCACGGGTTTCTTTTTTAACTGCTGAACCGATTTTCATGGAACTTGGTACTCTTCGAAAACTTTTTTATGTACAAAATGGAACAAGAGTTTATTAGGAAGACAGGAAAGGTGATTTCAAGTTTCGATACAATATAACTGCCTAATTAAAGAATATTTCTAAACTGAAAGGATGGAAGTTTTAAGACTTTGATTAAGTGTGTACAAGTACGAATTTTCAATAAAATCGGTCCAGTAGTTTCAATGATATTGGTATAAAAACTTGCCTGACGTCGCCCTTCTTAAGTATAATACCATATAGGTATAACACACACACACACACTTAATACACACTTAATTAAGACCTACTAAGTAACTTAGGAGACAGAAGACGACCTATACACGCTTATCATAAACACGAGACCACTATCTTGCGTTATAAGGAACATGTGTTAAAACAGAATACCGTAGTGCAGATAAAAGAGGAGATTATAAGCTTATAATAATTATTACAGCGATAAGCGTCTACGTATCTGGCTTGAAGACCGCCTGCATGCTATAATGTGATCTTTTCATATTAATATGTGATAAGGAATAGTGTAATGGTCTTATTTTGAGGAGGAAGGGGGATCATCAAATTACTTCTCTAGCCCAGGTGAAAAGGAGCGTCCTCACCTCGTTCCTTCCTCCTGTTCCAAGCCGGGGCATAGTGTAGATATTTGTTTTTGCGAGGGCAAATATATAATTTTTTTTCTTATTTCTTTTCTTTTTTAAAAAACGTTGCCCCACACGACAATTATCTCCTGTGTCGTGGGTGCGTTTACAAACATACAATTTCACGTACACATCACACCCAGACCCGGAACAACAATTTTCGGTTACAAAAAGAGTGGTTCCGTGCGGGCATCGAACACGCGACACGATATACGGGAGCCAGTTGCCCAACCACCGCGCCAACCGTGCAGTCAAATGACTTCTCTGACTAAAATTGATCCGTTCTTTCTCCAGCTCCGGGCCGAGGTCGCGGTTAATTATTGCGCTTGCATTCTCAATAGCGAAATAATGTAATGGTTGCGCTTCTGCTGTAGAATTATTGTCTTTAATAAGTTAGATTTAGATCTTAGGGAAGATACTTGAAAATATTGCCCATAAATATGGAGTTCAAAGAGCGTTAAATGTATTTTCCTATCTAATCACCAATTAGGAGCTGATAAATGTTGTATTTACTGATTTCTTTCAAGGGTAATCGACGTAGTTTCTATACGCTTCCTGGTTTTTTTTAAATATTTAATCTTCTTGTTTTCAGTGTTACCACCGGGCTACAAGGTGGAAGAAATCGAGATACCAGTTCCTTGGGGTCACGTTGCCGGACGATGGTGGGGGCCACGGGACAAACAGCCAATTATCGCCATCCACGGCTGGCAGGACAATGCAGGCACGTGGGACAATCTGATCCCCCTCTTACCAGTCACAACCTCAGTCCTTTGCATAGACTTGCCAGGACATGGTCTTTCCACTCACTATCCCAAAGGCATGCTCTATTATATCTTCTGGGACGGTATTGTCCTTCTTAGGCGGATAGTTAAGCATTTCGAATGGAGCAAAATCACTCTAATGGGACATTCTCTTGGCGGTGCTCTCAGTTTCATGTACGCAGCCTCATTCCCTGATGATGTAGAGAAAATTATTTGCGTGGACATCGCCAGTCCAGCTGTAAGAGAACCAAGTACTATGGTCAAAGGAACAGGACAGAGCATAGACAAAGTTTTAGATTATGAGAACTTACCTATAGATAAAGTACCTTGTTATGACTATGAGGAAATGATAGATATCGTCTGTGATGCGTACAAAGGATCTATTTCAAGAGAGAACTGCAAAGTACTGATGAAGCGAGGCATGATGCCGACTCCGGCACATTTGAAAAAGAGGGGCTATTTCTTTAGGAGGGATCCTAAGTTAAAAGTGTCCGGTCTGGCGATGATGTCGATAGAAACGGCTTTAGAATACGCGTCCAAGGTCAAGTGCAAAGTCTTGAATATTCGCGCGTTACCTGGTCAAAGGTGGGAGAAGATAGATTATTATTTGAGTGTCGTGGAGAAGATGAAGGCTACAGCAGATGTCCGATACGTAGAAGTAGAGGGAACGCATCACATTCATTTAGAAGATCCGGAGAAGATAGCACATATTGTAGAAGAATTTTTGGAGGATTATTAGTGTAGTATAGCTTTATAGCTAATGTGATATTTTGTGATGCGTCATTGCGCTGTAGATAGGTACAGTTTTTTTACTAGTAGCTAATTTATGTCTCAAAGCTTGAACACATTATTTAGAACTCCAGTGATTTATTACAATCCATAATATAATATGATAAGTTGTAAATTTTCATTCTGATTATGATTCGAAATGCCAAAGTTACTGAATTTGAAACTCTTGCACCAAAGTGCAAGGCGAGATGTGAAATCAACTTTATTGTGATCGGGCTAAGGGTTATTCTGCATTGTACTTTGGGCTTTATAATTTATTCCTTATTTATTTAATTTAGCTTTAATAGGTGAGTGTTTGAGAAACCAGTGAAATGTGATTTTAAAATTTATCAATATTTTTGTGAGAGAACAAAATGCTTTTATTGTAGTTTTCATAGATATTTAAACTTTGAGAACACAATGTATGTATAATATATTAGCTGCGTTTGTTCTATATTGTAACTATATACGTAGGTATTGTGTCCGTTAGACAAAATTGTGCTTAATTAGAGCCTTAAAAAAGAAGCATTTCCAATGCATCTTTTAAAAATAGTAATGACAATGTTAACTGACTTGCAGTTTGCATTTGATTTAATTAAATATCACAATTAGGTAATCGAAATTGTTTTCGAAATAATTAGATCTTATAAGTCCAGGTGTCCTCACGATGTTTTCCTTCACCGTATGTCAGTGGTGTCTTAATAATCATAGAATAATTTAATTATTCCTCTATTCTACTACAATAGTTATAAATATTAGCAATACTAAGATATACCAGGGATAAGTCGCAACGTCACTGCTGATTTTAAAATTACTAAGAGCAGATTTTTCAATAGTCAGATAAATTTTATCTGAGGAATAAAATTGTTGCTGTCACTGTCTTATAGGTAAAACTGGGTGATAAGATGTTGGCGAATTTTCCTAGTATCTACGAGTATACCCTACGACCCTACCCCTTCTATGTCTATTTACCCCTCGAATTCTATTTACCCCATTTTACCATACATTTTGACGCGACAGCATCATAATTATTCCTCAGATAACTTTTATTTAACCATTGAAAAATCAGCCCTTTATCATAATGACACATAATAATTTAAAACAATACATCCAAAATACTTATTTGATTTCACATTTAAATAAAAAAAATAGTTCCTGTATTAAATTACTCTGAGTACGGTAGTTAGTATTTGAAATGCTAGGTAAAGTCAAAAGGTTGTATATATTTGGAAAGAAAGCGTCTAAGGTAAATAGTTCTAAGTAAAAAATGAATGTTATTTTTGTATGGAATCGATGTCTGAGAGTAAGTAGAGTTGTATTTTTAGATGTTATGCTGGTATTTTTCACTTAAATTAGAAGCTTATTAAAATGATGCTGATGAAAAATGGACTTTGCTCTGTAGGACTAAAATTCAGTTTTCATCGTATGAAAAAAGTGCATATGCTTACTGTAAGTGTTGTAAAAAATATTGTGCTTTACGCTGTTAGTAATAGAGATTAAAATATTTTTATTTTTAGTTGGGATTTTAATAAAATATTGACATGAATATTGTTATTAAGTATCGTCGATTTAACATCAAAGTGCGAACAAAATAGTTTTTAAGCTATTCAATTAAAACTGAATATTATATAAAATAATTATTTCTGAAAATTTCCTTTCGACATTACGAGAAAAATTGTACATTTTATACTTAGGTAATTTTCTTCAGTAAAATAATCAAATGACTTCCACAAAGTTAGATTCACAGTAAAATCGACCTAAAAACAATGAAAGTACCGATCACAATGCAGAAACGGGATCGTCGGAAAGAAAGTGTTTTATTTATTTAATTAATTAAGTTTTAATTTATTTATAGACAAGTTAAGTGTATTCATTCGAGTTTGACTCGTGTCACGTGTGACGTAGTTTCTGTTTTGTATATTTTTGTCCAGTTATTTTCATTATATGGTTACCTACCTTTCTCTAATTTTGTTTATTATTTTCGTTATCCAGTTTTCGTAGCCATCCATACTATAATATTATAAATGTCAAAGTAACTCTGTCTGTCTTTCCTTCACGCCTAAACTACTGAACCGATTTCTGTGAAATTTAGTACAGACATAGTTTGGAGCTCGGGAAAGGACATGGGATAGTTTTTATACCAAATATCTGCAGGAAGTCACTATTCGACGCGAACGGAGTCACGGGTAAAAGCTAATTACGTATAAGCTCAATTTGTCATGGGGATATGACTTCTCTCGACCAGGGTGAGACGAAGTGTCAGACTCTTACTGACTAAAAACCACCCCGGTCCCTTCTCCTGCTCTAGGCCGATGCCTAGTACATTACTGTGCTTGACCCGGAATCCCGTACAGATCGCTAGCAAACGCCATTTTCCAGGGATGTCCTGGTAAACTGGATGTCTTCAAGGCTTGAGTAAATAGGTTGCTTATAGGCAGGCGTGCTTCATCGTAGGCTGCATCACCACTTACGGGATAGTGGCCTAAAGCAGGCTCATTGAAAATTATAATAACAAAAGCTATAATAATTTTCCATTTTTCACTGAGTCTCTAAATTATGGCAATATTTATTAAAGTGGATGTTATACTATGAACCATGATATAAAAATGTCGTTTTAGTCTTTGAATTAAATTGTATAATCAGTTATAAAGTCCCTTAGTAACTAAAGATAAAAAATGTCGATACCGTGTTTTAAATCTTTTTATGACCCTTGATAATGGCTTGACTATTTTCAAACGATTTCAAAAACCGAGGTCAATCGATTTGGTTCTTTATATTATCTAAGGATAAAAAACTTTTTCCTTTAAAAAAAGCTTGGTAAAGTAAATCCATTGTTGTCGAATCCGACGTCACAAAATAAATTATAGCTTGTAGGTTATTTTACTAGGGCAGGCAACAGCATACATTAATAGAAATTCCATTTGCATACATTCTACAAGTAGTAGGTAGTTAAGTTGTGACAAAAGGGCAAAGTTGTCTTCCAATATTTATTTGTTCTGTTTAAAGCCTACCGTTTATTTAGCTTATTAGATGGCACTAATGTTGCGTATGTTTTGATTATTTATTCATGATAGCAGTCAAACATAGAAAATTGTCGTTGTATTTTTTAATCTATTCATTTTTTTTTTGATAAACGGCGCTAACTTTAATTTGGCGCCATCTTCTGAGCGGGAAAGGTAGTTCTCGTTAAAAAAAGCTTTTTTGTGTCTACATTCTAGTTAAGTTATATTAAAAAAAGAACAAAGATTTGTTCCTACTTTTATTCTTGTTGTAAATCAAGGTGAACGTCCGAGTACGCAAATCGCGCCATTTTAATCAATTATATTGACACATGTCAACGTCAAACTGAACACGCGTCATAAAAGCAAATTATTTGTCTATGTTTTTTTTGGTTGAATAATTAATTAGGTATATTTATAATGATTGTGTTACGTACATTATGACGTTCGAGTGGTTGTAAATAGAGAAGTAAGCTAAGTACACTTAAAAAAAACTTTATCCATGTATGAATCCATGTTTGAATTTAATGTAAACTTTCTATTGTATGTAAATTATCTGTTGTCACACCAACTTTTTTTCCTTTAATTTGCATACTTACTACTTTTGCCCGTCTGTCGCGTGCCTCTAAACTATATACACGTATTTCAATTATTTATGTAAAAGTAATTTAAAGTTAAATGTGATTTTATTTTTATATCTTTAAATAAGAAATGATTGACTTCCGAATTCTTTTATTTTATCACCTTGTGTATATTTAATAAATGTTTGGATCGCATTACACTATTACGTCATTGGATACTTGGAAACTAATCAAATTTTATACTTTTTTCCGCATTGTCAACGTAGAAAGTTTTATGTATTTTGTATGGCTCTCTGTTTTTCTATAAATATATGCAAGCCTTACAAAAAAATTGAGAAAAATATTGTACAGCACGTTTTTGACTTTTTGACAAAAGTATTGAATTTAACTAGTTGGAATCTACCCTATTGATGTTACTCACTCCACTTACTACCTAGTATACTTAACACGTTCGCGTGAGCAACCCCATTTCTGAATGTTGGTACTGAGGTGCACCTTTTTCCCATACAAATTTAAGCAACGTCTAAAGACGTCCCGCCGCAATACGTACGTTTTAGAACTGCGTTATGTGGCGCAACGTTATTGTTAGTGTGGTTAGCGGTACAAGGGAGGCCGTCATAGGACGTTGCGCCATTTCATAATTATATCAATATAACGTTGTAAGACGTTGCTCACGCGAACGTGTTAAGTTGCAGTACAACTATAAACAAACTTATTGTACCTAACTTTGTAAGTAATTGTAATAAAATATCAAATTCAATTCGCACCATATCGATTCATAAAATTATTTATTTATTAACAACAAACACGTTATTTTTAAGTAAGTAAGTATTAAATTAAAATTCACAATGTTATAAATAAAATAAAAAAATGTAATATATTATTGTCCTTCATTTCTTATCACAAATCCTTAAACATGTCCCCGACAGGCAAGCTTTGAGTTCTTCGACACTTTCAATCTGTAAAATAAATATAATATGTCGGAGTCTCGATTATTTAAATTGAATTTTGAAGGAGGTTTTATCACAATTCATCGGACGAGGGTACCATGACTTGTACTGTGAAGACGATGATCGGGATGTTGATGTTTGTACCAACCTTCCGGTGCCTTCATATATTTTATTTTACAAACTCATATTTATTTATTTATTTGGACTACTAACAGAGAAAACACCTTAAATACTAGATAACATAAATAACAGAATATGACCTTGTGCTTCTCCACTTTTAAGCTTATTATGCTTCTGTGATTCCGATAACTGGTATCAAAATATACAAACAGAGAAAAGCAGAAAGTGCCTTTCCAGGGAATGGAAGAATTGATCGTTGAAAAGAAACAGGATAAGACAAGGGGATAATCAAATGGGTTCTCTCGCGCTCCCTAAGTGAGTAAGAGGGAGTGTCAGACTCTTACAGGCTAAAGAACACCCCGTTCCTTCTTTTGCTCCTTGCTCAGGCCGCGGGACATTATTGTGCTTGACCCGAACCCCCGACTGAAGTAAACGTTGTGTCTCCCCATTCCCAATACCTTTAAAACCCTAATCCCCAAAATGTTGACAACGCACTCGGAACTCCTCCGTCGTTGCGGGTGTTCATGGGCGGCGCTGATTGCTTACCATCCAGGTAATAATGCGTTTGCTCGTTTGCCGACCTTTTTTGTGTCAGGGGAAAAACAAACAGACTCTTACTGACTAAAAACTCCCCCGTTCCGTCTCCTGTTCTGGGTCGAGGCCACGGTGACTCATTGCGCTTAGCCCGATTACATAAAAAATGATCACCTAATGTAGTAGAGTGGTTGGCCAAGCCATTTGATGCCTTTTTCCCCTTTCAAATAAGGTAAACTTCTACTTACATCAATAGTATTATTATTATGCTCCTCACAGATAACCGTTAGTCTTTGACCAATAGCTTTCTGTTGTACTAGTTTGTCATTAATCTGTTTCCAAATACTACTGGCTGATTTTAATACGTTCATATTGCCGAATATGTAGAAACCTGAAAAAAATTATATTGAAATTGAGAAAATTCAACCCTAAATCCACGTAATTAAGGTTAAGAAAATAGTTTAAAAGTAAAAGTTTTAATTTATCGAAAATTACAAACACGTGTGAATTAATTTAGAAAAGCTCTACTCGTTTCAAGTCACAATGGAACTCTTATTCATTCGTCGCAGTGACGTCACGCACCTTACTTAGTCATAACTGACTATGTGCCGGTAAATAGTAATCAATAATTTGATACTTATGATGTTAATCTTGAGCGAGAAATTGATTTTTCTACCGGAGATGGCAGAACATTGGGAGTTTGATGTATTGGTAGATGTGAATTTTGTAGTTCAAGTACCCATATATGAATAACTTCGAATAGTGTTCTTAAATTGTATATGTTATTCCAATAAAATTAAGCCTTTAACAGCCAAATCCTACGCTTCCGTAGGTCACCAGGTAGTCTAAATGGAATTTATCGCTCACGCAAGCTTTATAACTTAAAAATTACTGTGCATCCAGCTTGTGTTTATAAGTCCCGGTGAAGCTCGAAAGTATTCAAGCATTTCATTTCGTGAGTGGGTAAGCGTGGTATAAAAGGGGTCATAGCAATATGAAAAATATAATTTACCTTCTTTAGCTCGAGACAAAGCGACGCATATCCTGTTAGGAGCGGTCAAGAAGCCAATCTTGTTGTCTCTGTTACCAGTGCCGGATTAAGCCAGCGCGGGGCCTGTAGCAAATTCTGTCAAGGGGCCCTTGATTTGCTAACGGTTCTCAAAATGGTATTAAATAAAACAAAACTGTTACAAAACTTTTCTAGATTTATTATGGTGAAATTTCGTGATTACACTTTCAATAGCGACTTCTTTAAGCAAGTCATGCTCTATATTCAACAACGTGAGTTTAATTCGTTTCAACGTTGAAAAAGAACGTTCGCCACTGCAGTTAGTGATCATGAGAGATAAGTAAATACGCAAGGCAATTTCTAAATTTGGGAAACACGATTCTAAAGAATTACTTAATAAAAGTTTATAAAATTGCAGTTCCAGAGGCTCCTGTTTCTTGCTGTCAATTACAGTAGCCACATCTATTTTCAGCAGCTCTGCGAACTGCACTAATTCGCCGTTCTCCAAATCATCTTCGTAAGCACTGAACATCTTTAAATAAAATTAATACCAATTTTTGAATTCGGTGCCAAGCAAAACAAAAATAGTGTAATCTTTACCTATATAGCTATTGTTAGTTTGATGATTAGGAGGTACCGATCAATATTTTTCTAATACTATTGCTGTTTGGTATGACTTGGATGATTCACTTGGCAGAGCAGGCAAGGATAAGTAATGATTTTTGAATAAAAAGACGACGACTACTTGAGACCGAAAATCACGATAATAGTAGTGGTCCTGAGTTAGTCAGTGTTCAGTGCTGTAAATCGCTGAGGAATTCCCTCGACTGTCAATCATTCCTCGATTGTCATCATTTATACTGCACACCTTCAATATACTTACATAATCCGTATAGGTGCAAAGTTCTCATCAATATAAATGAATTAAATCCAAGCACAACATAATTACTCCAAATAGTCAAAGAGATCTTACGACAGTCTTCCTGCTCCATCATCAGATTTACTCCATAACTTCATTGTAACCCATATAGGTGCGAAGTTTTCATCGATATAAATGAATTAAGTCCAAACAAGGGGTAGTTACTGTGAACCGTTCAGGAGTTCCCTAAGCTGTCCTTCGTTCTCATCATCAGACCCCTAATGACAGTCACGACCAACCTTGGTGCAAAGTCACCAATACGAATCATTCAAGCCCAAACAACTTCAAATAATCAAGGAGATCCTTCAACTGTCTTCTGGTTCCATCATCAGGTCAAGTTCGACTATCTGCAAGTTGTAGCGTTGTAAAAAATATACTAAAACAACATGCACTACTCGCCCCTACAATTTTCGAAAGGTCCCCTCGGTTTCCCTAGGATTCCATAATCAGATCCCGACCTCATGAAAATGGGATCCTCTCGGGATTATAACCTTTCAAACAATACAAGAATTTTGGAAATTGGTTTAAAAATGGCGGAGTAATCGGTGAATATACAAAAAAAAAACAATCAGCCGAACATAGTACCCCCTCCTTTTTTTGAAGTCGGTAAAAAGATAATTGAATGAATTGCACACAGCGCTACGTCAATCACGAAAACAGTACTTGAGGCAATGTCAAGACAACTTTTCTCACAAATAGTTCACACTTAAAGTGCTTAGTAGTTTTTTATATTGAATCAAAAGAAAGTGTAGGTATATCAATTTCTTAGTGTTTGATAGTCAATAGAATCCTATCAAATCAAATCAAATTCTTTATTTCAAATAGACCACAAAAGGCACTTTTGAACGTCAAGCAAAAAAGATATCATAAGGTATAACTTTATATGTGTCAGTCTGTCCGTCTGTCCTCTAGTGAAGCTATTTGCTCGTTCCAAAGTGTAGATTCCTATGGAGAAGAACGAGCAAGAAACTCCATGGTTACTCTTTTTCAATCACTTTTTACAATGCATTGTTACATAATTTAGATAGTTCCATTATGTGAGAACATTTATTTGTTACCTAATTTATTTGTTCGAGTTACGGCGAGCTCAATCGATGACAATATCAGGGAATTCCCCAAATGGTTTTGCAAGTAGTACAACACATAACTTGTGTGTGGCTAGCGTTCAATTTTAAAGATGTGGTACAATTTCAAATTATTGTTGTTCATTTTGATACCAACGTTTTTCGTGATAGATATTATATACCTAGAGGTGAGGCGGAAATAGCCGTGCGCGCAGTTCGCGTCGGCTCTGTTCGCCCGCCAATAGTACCAACCGAGCGGACAAACACTCGCTTTCCTTTTCTTACACATACAAAATACCGACTATTTGTCTTTTTTCGTTTATTTCGTTAAGAAAAAAATCTAATTATTTGCAGTTTGGTAGTAGTTTTGTAAACAAAACATTTTCTACATATGTCTTGCTGTTGAAGTGGTGTAATTACAAAATATTTATTTGAGCGCGGGGCCCTCCAATCCGCGGGGCCCGTAGCATTTGCTACTCTTGCTACGTGGCTAATCCGGCACTGTCTGTTACTCCTTACTAACGACAATATCACTATCCTGTTCTCTTCACCTTGGTAGTTGTCAACGGCTGTTATTCTGACTTGACGAAGGGATTCGTCTTTTTTAGCTAGCTATAATAAAAGAAACGATGATAAGTTTTTGTATTAAAAAAAAAGAAACGTTATCCGACGATATTGTTATTAAGTATCGTCGAGTTAACATCAAAGTGCGAGCAAAATAGTTTTAAGCTATTCAATTAAAATTCAATATTATATAAATGAATAATTTCTAAAGATTTTGACGAGAAAAATTGTAGATTTTATAGGTAATTTTAATCCAATGACTTCTACAAAGTTAGATTCACAGTAAAATCGACCTAAAAACAATGAAGGTACCGATCACAATGCAGAAACGTGATCGTCGGAAAGAAAGTGTTTTATTTATTTAATTAATTAAGTTTTAATTTATTTATAGACAAGTTAAGTGTATACATTCGAGTTTGACTCGTGTCACGTGTGACGTAGTTTCTGTTTTGTATATTTTTGTCCAGTTATTTTCATTATATGGTTACCTACCTTTCTCTAATTTTGTTTATTATTTTCCTTATCCAGTTTTCGTAGCCATCCATACTAATGTTATAAATGTCAAAGTAACTCTGTCTGTCTGTCTTTTCCTTCACGCCTAAACTACTGAACCGATTTCTGTGAAATTTAGTACAGACATTGTTTGGAGCTCGGGAAAGGACATAGAAGAGTTTTTATACCAAATAGCTACCAGTAAAAGCTAATTACGTATAAGCTCAATTTGTCATGGGGATATGACTTCTCTCGACCAGGGTGAGGCGAAGTGTCAGACTCTTACTGACTAAAAACCACCCCGTCCCTTCTCCTGCTCTAGGCCAATGCCCAGTACATTACTGTGCTTGACCCGGAATCCCGTACAGATCGCTAGCAAACGCCATTTTCCAGGGATGTCCTGGTAAACTGGATGTCTTCAAGGCTTGAGTAAATAGGTTGCTTATAGGCAGGCGTGCTTCATCGTAGGCTGCATATAGATAGGATAGTGGCCTAAAGCAGGCTCATTGAAAATTATAATAACAAAAGCTATAATGGTAATAAATAATAAAAAATAATGGTATAAAAATATCCTTTTACTCTAATTTAGTCCAAATTAAATAATCTTATAAAATTTTATTCAAAGACTTACAGTCACTAAGGTGTACAGTGACAGTTACTAAGGGAGTTCTTATATATCTATATAAGAACTATACTGATATATCTATATAACTAACTATAGGATAAAAAATGTCGATGCCGGGTTTTAAATCTTTTTATGGCCCTTGATAATGGCTTGGTTATTCTTAAACGATTTCAAAAGACGAGGTGAATCATTCAGTTCTTTATATGTAAGAATAGACTTTGTTTCCTCTAAGTTGGTAGAGTAATTCCATTGTTGTGACTTCACAAAATAAATTATAGCTTGTAGGTTATTTTACTAGGGCAGGCAACAGCATACATTAATAGAAATTCCATTTGCATACATTCTACAAGTAGTAGGTAGTTAAGTTGTAACAAAAGGGCAAAGTTGTCTTCCTATTCTGTTTAAAGCCTACCGTTTATTTAGCTCATTAGATGGCACTAATGTAGCGTGAGTTTTGATTATTTATTCATGATAGTAGTCAAGAATAGAAAATTGTCGTTGTGTTTTTTATTTTTAAACTATTCATTTTTTTTTATATAAACGGCGCTAACTTTAATTTGGCGCCATTTCCTGAGCGAGAAAGGTAGTTCTCGTTTTAAAAAATCATTTTTGTATACATTCTAGTTAAGTTATATCAAACAGAGCAAAGATTTGTTCCTATTTTTATTCTTGTTGTAAATCAAGGTGAACGTCCGAGTACGCAAATCGCGCCATTTTAATCAATTATATTGACACATGTCAACGTCAAACTGAACACGCGTCATAAAAGCAAATTATTTGTCTATGTTTTTTTTTGGTTGAATAATTAATTAGGTATATTTATAATGATTGTGTTACGTACATTATGACGTTCCAGTGGTTGTAAATAGAGAAGTAAACAAGTACACTTAAAAAAAAAACTTTATCCATGTATGAATCCATGTTTGAATTTAATGTAAACTTTCTATTGTATGTAAATTATCTGTTGTCACACCAACTTTTTTTCCTTTAATTTGCATACTTACTACTTTTGCCCGTCTGTCTCGGTCGCGTGCCTCTAAACTATATACACGTATTTCAATTATTTATGTAAAAGTAATTTAAAGTTAAATGTGATTTTATTTTTATATGTTTAAATAAGAAATGATTGACTTCCGAATCATTTTATTTTATCACCTTGTGTATATTAAAATAATTATTGGATCGCATTACACTATTACGTCATTGGGTACTTAAAAACTAATCAAATTTAATACTTTTTTCCTAATTGTCAACATAGAAAGCTTTATGTATTTTGAATGACTCTCTGTTTTTCTATAAATATATGCAAGCCTAACAAAAAAATTGAAAATTAGCTAGAAAAATATTTTACAACACGTTTTTGACTTTTTGACAAAAGTATTGAATTTAACTAGTTGGAATCTACCCTATTGATGGTACTAGCCCCACATATTACCAAGTATACTTAAGATGCTGTACAAAATTCAGAAATTTGTAATTGAAATAAAATATCAAATTCAATTCGCACCATATCGATTCATAAAATTATTTATTTATTAACAACAAACACGTTATTTTTAAGTAAGTAAGTATTAAATTAAAATTCACAATGTTATAAATAAAATAAAAAATGTAAAATATTATTGTCCTTCATTTCTTATCACAAATCCTTAAACATGTCCCCGACAGGCAGGCTTTGAGTTCTTCGACACTTTCAATCTGTAAAATAAATATATGACGGATTCTCGATTATTTAAATTGAATTTTGAAGGAGGTTTTATCACAATTCATCGGACGAGGGTACAATGAATAGTACTCTGGCGGAACGTCAAACACAACATGGTGGAGAGCGAGCGCTGTGACTGTCATTATGAGACGGATCGCCGACGTCCGTTATTTTTGTAATTTATTTGGTCTGATTATAAAATCCTACGCCCTGCGATGGACTGTGAAGACGATGATCGGGATATTGATGTTTGTACCAACCCCCTGGTGCCTTCATATATTTTATTTTATAAACTCATATTTATTTATTTATTTGGACTATCAGCAGAGAAAACACCTTTAAATACTAGGTAACATAAATAACAGAATATGACCTTGTGCTTCTCCACTTTTAAGGTTATTATATGTTTCTATGAATGCCAATAACTGGTATCAAAATAGAAACACAGAAAGTCAGAAAGTGCCTTTCCAGGATATAGAAGAATTGGTTGTTTAAAAGAAACAGGATAAGACAAAGAATTTGCATGGAATTTTTTTGAAGGGGATAATCAAATGGGTTCTCTCAAGCTCCCTAAGTGGGTAAGAGGGAGTTTCAGATTCTTACTGGCTAAAGAACACCCCGTTCCTCCTCCTGCTCCATGCTAAGGTCGCGGGACATTATTACGCTTGACCCGAACCCTCGACTGAAGTAAACATTGTGTTTCGCCATGTGAGTGAGGTTACTGGAGGCCCAACAAATTCCTAATCCCCAAAATGTTGACAACGCACTCGGAACTCCTCCGTCGTTGCGGATGGTCATGGGCGGTGCTGATTGCTTACCATCCAAGTAATAATGCGTTTGCTCGTTTGCCGACCTTTTTTGTGTCAGGGGAAAATTATCAAATGCCTTCTCCCGCCCAGGGTAAGGCGAGAGACAGTGTCAGACTCTTACTGACTAAAAACCCCCGTTCCTTCTCCTGTTCTGGGTCGAGGCCACGGTGACTCATTGCGCTTAGCCCAATAATATAAAAAAAATATTACCTAATGTAGAGTGGTTGGTCAAGCCATTTGATGCCTTTTCCCCCTTCAAAAAAGGTAAAGTTTTACTTACATCAATAGTATTATTATTATGCTCCTCACAAATAACCGTTAGTCTTTGACCAATAGCTTTCTGTTGTACTAGTTTGTCATTAATCTGTCTCCAAATACTACTGGCTGATTTTAACACATTCATATTGCCGAATATGTAGAAACCTGAAAAAAATTGACAATATAATTGAGGAAATTCAACCCAAATCCACGTTATTAAGGTTGAGAAATTAGTTTTACGTATTTAAAGTCCTAATTAATGGAAAATTACAAACACACGTGAGTTAATCGAGAAAACGGGACTTTTATTGATTTTATTGTCACGCACCCGACTTATGGTTTCCGAAATCCCGATCAATGTTAAAATCAACTAATTAGGTGTCAAATCTCTTGTCAAGTCATCTGATTGGTTGTTGATCAGTCAATCAATCAGATGACTTGACAAGAGATTAAATTGATTTTAACATTGATCGACCTTTCGGAAACCGGGTGGTAGTCATACATAATTGACCCTTTGTGTCGGTAAATAGTTACATACTTTGTTAATTATGATGTTAATCTTGAGCTAGAAATTGATTTTTGTACCGGACAAGGCAGAATATTGGGAGTTAGATGTGGAATTTGCTAGTTCAAGTATAAATATGTATAAGATTGAACAGACTTCTTCAATTTAAAAAAGTTATTCCAATAAAATTAAGCCTTTGACTGCAGATGGAAAGCTTAAAGAATGTAAATCCTACGCTTCCGTAGGTCTCCAGGTGATCTTAATGGAATCTATCGCTCACAAAAACTTACTTAAGAATTACTGTGTATCCAGCTTATGTTTATAAGTCCCGATGAAGCTCGAAAGTATTCGAGCATTTCATTTCGTGATAAGCGTGGTATAAAAGGGGTCATAGCAATATGAAAAATATAATTTACCTTCTTTAGCTCGAGACAAAGCGACGCATATCCTGTTAGGAGCGGTCAAGAAGCCAATCTTGTTGTCTCTGTTACTCCTTACTAACGACAATATCACTATCCTGTTCTCTTCACCTTGGTAGTTGTCAACGGCTGTTATTCTGACTTGACGAAGGGATTCGTCTTTTTTAGCTAGCTGTGAATAAAAGACAAGATGATAAGTCTTTGTATTAAAAAAAAGAAACGTTATCTGACACTATGATTTTCTTCTGCGTCGTGGGTGCGTTTACAAACATACAACTTCACACACACTAGCCACCTAAACCCAAAACAATAATTTGCCGATATCACACAGTGTTGTTCCGTGCGAGATCGAATGCACGACACGTTGCACGGCAGCCAGTTGTACAGCCACTACGCTAACTTTGTAGTCAAGGAAAGTAAGTTTGTTAAAAAAAAAAAAAGAAAATCTCTCACCCCTACTTCCCTTTGAAAAGCATAACAAACTTTAAACAGTTGGTTTTCTGCGAGTATCTGTTTAATATGTTTATATTTCCATGGGCAGCCCTGATTGCTTACCGTCAAACAATCCGTGTTGCCAACGAGTTTATGCTGCGATAGGAGACGCATCGCAATATCACTGGCTTCTTCCAGTATCATCGTCACATCTTAGTGACAATTGACCTTTTTGAGGGAGAAAAATCATCAAATTGTTTCCCCCGTCCTGGTTAGGGCGATAGGTGAGTGTCAGACTCTTACTGACTAAAAACCACCTCTTTTCCTCTCCTGAATCGAACCGTACTGTGGTACATTAGTGGGCTTCCACCCGCAAAAGCACGCGCTGGGGGATCCAAGACAGCCATTCATGTCCCTGGCACTCACTAGACTTCAGTGTTCCGGTGTTTTCATGGTTGCATCTACTGTAGATCTTGGCTTACTCGAGTTGCAGCGGTTTTGGGAGGATGTGGCGGTCTTGTCAAAGTTAAATTTCAACTATACCATAAATAGGTATTTTTGAAACGTCAAAATAGAATAGTAATCTGACAATCTGTTCGTACCTCTCCTCTGTCAGATGACCTTGAAGAATTATACTGAGGAACTGCTGCTGTTGAAATTGATTTACTTACATCTCTCAGCAGATTGACCTGTCCATTATAAGTAGCGAGTATTGTGATTTCGTCCTGCGTGTAATCCATTTTGATGAAGTACTGCGCAAGCGCTATGCACCATTCAGCTTCGAAGATATTTCTGTGACTCCAACTGTCTTCCATGCCCTGGAAAATATTGATACATTATTGAATTACTTGGTTTTAGGTTATATTATTATTATTATACTATAGTAAATTTTAACAAAATATAGAGGATGAATAATATTATAAAGCTCAGATTTACATTAAAAATCTCAATAATTCGGAACCAAATCTAAGCTATTTTAAAAGTATTTAAGTTAACACGAAAAAAAAACTGTACAATCTTTAGTGCACTACCCTACGCAAACTCAAATAGCGTATTCTTATAATACTAACCTCAGAATCTTCAAACACGTCGTGAGAAAAGAAATACAAGTTATCCTTCATTCCTCTCACATCAGGGTAAGATTCTACACTAGAATGCGTATCCAACTTATCGTATATTGCAGGAACAATTAACTCTACGAAATTCCGACTCATTCTGCGTTGCGTAGTGAGGGTACGCGCGTGGACACCGTTGCGTATCATGCGTTCGAAGAGAGATATCTCTAGGTTGTAGTCTTTCGCTAGTTTGTAGTGAGCTGCTGTTGGTCTCAATTGTTTGTGGTCTCCTGCGATTTAAAATGTGTAAAATAATAAAAAAAAAAATAGTTTGGCACTTGCCACATGGTCAGTTTTTCTTCTGTGAACACCACACTTCGATCAGAAACAAAAAATGTCGATCACATCATGACACAAAAAATATTCTATGCAGTAGAGTGATTATGTTTACCTATTGTTTATTACATTTACAATAAACAAACTCAAAATGAATAACATCAAATCTACATATTCAAGGGATGCAAATTTTATCAAAAACCAACTTATTCTTTTCACACTCCAATCAAAAAAATCTTAATTTTAACGAAACTTACCTATAAGTATAAGATGTTGGCACTGATGAGTTAGCGATGCGACGATATGCGCCTCTAGCACTTCAGCTGCTTCTTCAACAATCACTGGAAATATAAATTATACAATCAATGACTGCAAGGTTGACGCTGTGGCCCGGCAATTGGCTGTGTGAACAACACTGCGTGATTCACAAATAGTTGTTCCAGGTTTGGGTGGCTTGTTTATGTGAATTTGCATGTTTTTAAACGCACCCACAGTACAGGAGAATTGTGAATTATAAGTAACCGGTAACCTCACTCAATTCGTGCCGAAGTTTGGCACTCTCCCATTTAAAGCAGAGTAAGGAAGATTAGGGTAGGATAGGGTAGAACCTGACTGAAGCCAGGGGCAAAGGGCTAGTCTATCTATTTTTATTAATATTTGAAATGCTGTTCGTCACTTTCACTAAATCTCGAGAACGGCTGGTCCGATTTGGCTAATTTTGGTCTTGAAATATTCGTGGAAGTCCAGGTAAGGTATGAAACTTTTGGAAAAGTAAAAAATAGCGTCCGTTCTTAGTGAAGAAGTTGGGAGGCCCGTATAAAGCAGGGAGGGGGGGTCTATAGGTAAATATGCCTTTGCATCAACTGTAATACGTTTATTCACATTACCTATTGGCGAATGCAGTTTCCTCATGAGATCATGTCTCCTAGCGGCTGTAGTGGTGGTCACCCCGACTACTCTTACTGTCCTCATAACTTCGCCATCAATTAATGTTGATACTTCGTTCAGCTCCTGGCTAGCCGTATTGTGTTGATCCTTTAATTAGAAATCATATATTTTTGATATCGTTTCCATTTCCGAAGAGCCATTAGCTCATTTCCGAAGTTTTTGACTAATATATTAAAGCTGAAGATCGAGTGTTAATCTCGAGCGCTTCCATTAATGTCAAGAACTACTGGAAAAAAAATCTTTTTTGTACTTACCCTCTTTAAAACCATTCAACACGTTAAAGGCCTGTTTTACAATGTCTTAATAGCCATACACATCACACCATCAGCCCATAAGTTCCCTCTGCAGCGCAAAGGCCTTTCCTCATACGGAAAAGGTTTGAGCATTAATCACCATGCTTACTCAAGGTGGATTGGCAATTTCAAACAATTTTATTGGAAGTTAAAAGTCCAGGTTTCCTCTCGAAGTTTTCTTTCGACGTATGTCAGAGGTGTCTAAATAATCATAGAAAGTACATATAACGGAAAGTCACATTGGTACTTGCCAGATTTGAAACCTAGGCCCGTTTCTAATGCAGCGTGCGCATTAGAAACGGGCGCTATATAACGTCCAGGCCATCACACCGCACTTTTATTTTGAGTTTACCTTTTTTTGATTAAGAATACTTACCAATAAAACATTCATTTTGGAGAGCAATTCATTCTTCAACGTCCCAACAGCTGTGTAGTATAAATGCCACCTCTGATCTTGGTTCAAACTGTACAAATCGTTAACCTGATCCAATTTGAAGTTTTCTTTATTATTGTTTTGTAGCGTCCTGTATTTCTGAAACATATAAGGTACATTTCAGACTGAAATTATGTATAACCACATAGGGTAGGGTTAAGGGCTGATTTTTAATGGATAGATAAAAGATATCTGTATGCTGTCGCGTCAGAATGTTTGTATAAGACAGTGACAGCAACAATTTTATGATATATCTGACTACTGAAAAATCAGTCCGAAATGGAATAAAATTATCTATAATATGCATATCAAGGAAAATAAAGTAGAAGATGTATTAAGGAAAAAATATGTTTTTGAGTCTATGGTGGAATTTTGACTAGATTTTTCTAGAATTCATATTTAAAATCGCAAAAGTGCTTTTCAATTTGTAAATACTAAAAAAAGATGTAGACTTTTCTCATTTATTCACGTAAGTAATTTGTTATTATTTTCAATAAATTCACTATGTATCAAGAGTATAAGACTATTCAAAAATAAAGAAAATATTCAAAGAAATCTAAACCCTTTTTTTTTTTTTTTTTTTTTTTTTTGTCAGGGGAAAATCATCCAATGACTTCTCCCGCCCAGGGTAAGGCGAAAGAGAGTGTCAGACTCTTACTGACTAAAAACCCCCCCGTTCCTTCTCCTGCTCTGGGCCGAGGTCGCGGTGCCTCATTGCGCTTACCCCGCAGCCCCGGCTAAACATCAGCCCTTTAGGGCCCCGACTGTGGTGGTCTATTGGCTCTTTGAGGCGCGCGCGGAACGCTACGCGCCGTACGCTCGGGTCCAGTTCTGGTCGGGCGGCGAGCTACCCTTACTCGCCGTCCGCAGACCCGCGCTTACGGTGGCCGGAGATCATCCCTCGATCCCCGACGTCCGGAATGTCGCCTTCTGCGGCGGCTGGGGCGCGAGGAGGATAGTTCCCTCACGCGCTCCGCCTCCTCCTTTGCGAGCATAACTGCTTCGCAGAAGGAGGAGATAGCTTCCCAGTTCCTCTCACGCTGCACCATGGCCTCGATTAAGGCCGGGCGCGAGAGGTCGCCGCCGCCGATCACTTCCCTGAGAACACGGCGGTGCTCAGCCCAAGCAGGGCACTCCGCCACCGTATGCTCCACCGTGTCCTCCAGGTGATCCTCACAATGACGACACTCGGGCGTTTCCTCCCGCTGGATCCGAAACAGGAACCTACCAAAGCTGCCGTGCCCGGTAAGCACCTGCGTCAGGCGGAAGGTGAGGACGCCGTGGCGTCTCTCAAGCCACTCCTCAAAGAGGGGTCTTACCGCTGCTATAGTAGCGTGCCCGGCCCTCGGTTGCGACAGTCGCTGCTTCCACTCAGCCATGAGATCTCGCCGGAGCTCATTCCGAAGAAATCTAAACCCTATTACATGATAAATAAAGATGTTTACCTTAAAACACTCCAATCTTCTGCTAATTCTTCTGATCTCAGTTTTAAACTTCTCTGTCATCTGGTTTGCTTCTAGATGGTTATCTGTGACGTCATTCACATACCGTATGCTGTTCATCATAGAGTCTATTTCTGTTAAGGCCCAATTTTCAGAGAAGCACGAATTGACTTCTTCTTTTAAAGCCAAATCGTCTAACTTCTCCCAATCTTCTTCTGCATCAACTTCTTTATCAATCTCCACGACTTTAGCAGTTTGTGATTCTTCGAAATCACCAAATAACCAATCAAGTACGCTATCTTCTATAGTACTTTTAAGGTTATAATTCTTCTCCCCTATCTTCAAATACGGCTTTAAATTCTTGTAAGAAACAATCTCTTTCTCACATTTCTCAATCTCACTTTGAAGATCAGTCATCTCTTTAAAAATCTTCTCCAACTCATTTCTCTTAGAAGCATAGAGGTAAGAGTACTTACATTTGATTTTCGACCTTAAGTTATGTAGTGTGTAGTACTCAAGAAGGGGGCTTTTGCTTTGGCTGCCTAGACGAACAATACTGTTGGTAATACCTAAAATTCCTTCAAGAAATTGATCAAGGGCGTGATTCGTGTAGCAAATAATAAGCATTGGGGTTCCTTCTAGGGATAAATTTCTGAGTATTGTGGCTGCTATTTTGATCCCTATGTACGTTTTTCCTGTACCAGGTGGGCCTTGTATTACGGCGAATTCTCTTGTTAAGGCGAATTTGTAGGCTTCTAGTTGGGATTCGTCGAGTTTGAACACTTGGTCAGGCCATTGGCTTGTATCTAGCACGGGATACGGCAGATCCTCTGTGTCGTAAGGAACTGTGTATATAGTTTCAGGGGATAAATAAGCTGGTGGGTGTGTTTCTGTCTGAAATGTTGAAGAGGTTTTTAGATAAAGCCATTTTAACATTAATTCTGAGCTTTTTAAATGCGAAATTTATTATCATAAGAGTTAATCTGTTTGTATACGTCTCAAATACCGCATTGTTAATTTTTACTGTGATTTAATTAATTATTATGCTTTGCGGCTCACTCACGTGCCTGTCGAGGAATTCGACTAGTTTCAAGCTCTTTAGGAGCTCATATTTAATAAGCTGTGTGTCGTTCGCGTCTTCATGTCTGACACAACGCTGCTAATGAATATGAGTGTCTATCGTGGCTTGAAATTAGTCGAAATCCTCGTAAGCCGTTAAACAGACTTATTAGTTTGTTTTTTTAATTTTTAATAGCTTTTTGCAAATTAACATTCTTCTTCCTGGAGAAGATTACGACTGATATATTTACTAAATCAATATGATATTGTAAAATGCACTTTAAACCCTACAACATAAAGTCGAAATTCAACTACCACCTACCTGTACGTCTACAATGTATCTTTTCATTGGCAGATCATCTAGTCTAGACTCCTGTAATACTTTTAATACTCTGTGGTACGGTTCGAAAAATACTTCACTCTCCACCATGAGAAAAGCTTCGGAGAAAATGCTTTTTGACGTAGGATTTTGAAATGACACTGCTACCTGGAATTTCAAATGAAAAAATGTTGCTAAAAATTAATTATTGTTACTAGATTACAATACACACACGTCTCTTCCAAAAGACTTGGTAAAGCCTATGTTGAGCAGTTTGTAAGCAGCTTAGAATTGTTACTGACATAATATATTGTGTAGTTTTCTCATTTAAAAATAAATTATTTTAACTTATAAAACCACTCTCGCGCGGTTTCACCCGCTGCTCGGCTCCATTTGATCGTAGCGTGATGTTTTATAGCCTATAGCCCTCAGGAACATTGTAGCTACCTATCAGTGAAAGAATTTTGGCAATCCGACCAGCGGTTCCAAAGCTTACCCCCTACATACAAACTTACAAATTTTACCTCTTTATAATATTAGTACAGACAAAAAACACTTCTTAAATACATTGCTTTCATTGATTAATTTCACAAATAGAAAGAATAGTATAATACGTATTTTTTTCGACGTTTTAATATTATCGATATAATAATACGTATTTTTTTGACGATTTATTATTTGGGGAATAACTGTTACCGTTTGTCAGTGGTGTCTAAACTTAGAAACTACATATAACTAAGAAAAGGTAGTTGTCAGGTATTGAGCCAGTGCTCTCATGCCTAGAAACGGGTGCCTTTATCTATGGGCCACAACGACCTTACCTCGATAAGGTCAAGGTCGCCTTATTAAATAGTTTAAACAGAAAAAACTCACATATCCATCTCTGAGCAAGGCCATATTAGAATCCAATACAGTAGCGCACAATATTGTCTCGAAATTATCATTGGTGAAGAGTAATAAAGATCCGAACATGAGTTGCTTGTTGTACGCGTATCTCTTGCTGTCCACTGCGCCATTGGTGGACCGTTCCTTCCAAGCAATATCCACTAGATGACCCACTCGGTTATTGCTTACATAGTTACGGAGTATACGTACTTTTGGGAACACCCTGTAAATTTAGAAAAAAAATAATTATTAGGTTCTCTTGAGGCAAACTGTGGGAGAGCCATACTTCAGCACAAATGGGTCGGCTCAACCGGAGCGATACCACGGCCTCACAGAAAACCGGCGTGAAACAACCACAGCGTTGTGTGTTCGCCTTGTGTGTGAGGTTACCGAAGGCAAAAGGCACTGTATATGTATTTCTCACTAAAACCTGTTTAGTTGCCACATGTACTTCTTCGTACTCTATATCCAGAGTCACTATGGTACAAAAGTAACTAAATAAAGGAAGTAAACTTACCTAATATTTTCATGTCGTCTCTTACTAGGATTCTCCAAATATTTACCTGTGAAATAAACAAAATGTAACACAAACTCAGTATGCACAAACATAGAACTCTTACATAAAGTTTACTGACATATTCCTTCCCGTAATGGCCCGAAGCAATCTTCTCGTAACAACTTGAACTGTATGTCTAAATAGTCTTCTACGCTTGGGTACGCTCCGTTGATTATATTCGGTTTTATAGGTATAGTGTTAGCAGAGAGTAAATCATCTTTTGTTGGAAATATGTTTAAGTTCTTGTAGTAATTTCTGTCAGGATTTGTTGTTTCTGACGGTGGGATGATTTCATCATCTTCTTCATCAAAGTCCTGAAAGATATCAAAGATTTTTTTTTATAAGTCACATTTAAAATTATTTAAAATTTTATTTTTTGCAAGTCAAGAAGAGGTTTTTCTATTAAATAATTAGTGTCAAAAAATAGGGTAGCGGTAGGTATAACAATATATTTTTTCACAATATTATTCAAGTATTTATTAGTCTGTTTACTTTACTCAACAAGAATAACGATCAAAATATATTTTTCTTTAAATAGAGGAGTTACTTACTTCATCTTTTAATAACTTCATTGCTTTAGTTTTTAACTGATCAATTCTGACAAACAACTCATTGCTAAATCTTTCCGTGTGTTCTTCACGGACACCAAAAACACTGACTTCAGTTATTTCCAGCAAATCAAGTATATCTTTTATGAATTCCAGGTTCTCTCTTTCAAAGTTGATAATACCTTCACAAAGGTCTAACACATTCATATAAAATATCTCAGGGTCATCCCAAAGAAGTGAATTCAACCTCTTTTCAACTATTCGAACACTGGGCAATTCATCCAAATAGTTCTTAATATTCACCAAAAAGTTTGAATTCTGAAACCTTGTTCTAAGTAATTTTACTATTTTTGAAGATTCATTTGGCTCCAAAGTTTTGTATACATTTGCCAGAATTCGCACAATTAAAACTATAAAGTCACCCTTGAGTTCTTTCTCATCTAAAAGATTCCAAAACCCCGGTCTATGGGATACTTCTAAATTTAAAATTGGAGGTTGTAATGTAGAAATATCGAGAAGTCGTTTGTAACCGATTGGTTTTTTCTCTGTAAACTGAGGTTTAGGTTCAGGCTTTGGTTCTGGTTGCTCTTCATCATCAAAAGCGGAGGTAGTTGAGGTATTTGGTCTTGGTTCTTCTATCAGCGTGCCATCAAACCAATCTATTCGAAGGGAACTTTTGTTACCGTCACTCATGTTGACTTAAAACTGATAACACAACGTTTATAAAGTGTATATAACCTTTGTGTAGGTCTTTAGTTGTCACACTTTATTTTATTTCATTAATAAAGAGTTAAATGAAAGTAGGACGAACAAAAATATTTCTTGTTTTGACGTAAGCTAAACTGCAAAACAGCTGTGCCGTGCAATGTATGTCAGTGTCACGTGGAAAATGTCAAAACGTTTTGTTTCACCCTATTGAGTAGGAACAGAAAGTTAAAAGAAATATGAAAATATTCTGTATCACAATCATCAATGCAAAAAAGAGTGTAAGTACCTACATAATCAAATGACAAAGCTATTTGGCTATCTTAAGGTTTAAAAACAGTTTTGTTTAACTTACAGGAGTTGCCGGGATTGCGGAGCAAGCTCAATAAGTGACTGCGGACTGCGGCCTCGGCCTGTAACAGGAGGGATTTTAGTTCGTAAGAGTCTAAGACTTCCTTTCGCCTTACCCTGGGCGAGAGATGTCATTCGATAATAACGCCTAAGAAAATAATGTAAAATCTAGTAAAGTAAGAATACTCAAAGAACTAAATAATGCATCCAATAAACATTCGCGCTACAAACATCTCTTTTAATTCAAGCCGCTCATCTTGTACTTATCTTGTTTTATATTTATAATCGTACACTCTAAGACTTTTATTGTTAATGACCTCTTATGCGTCGGTCGTTAGAAGGCCGCTTGTTAAGCATAAGGGCTTTTACTCACCTTTTATAGCCTAATAAACCGTTAAATGTGACTAAACTGTATTTTCGTCTACTCTTTTCCCTCGCTTGGTGTCTGGGTTTAACTTTATTACTGATATTAAGAAAATACTATTAACGTAAATCCGAAATACATACTTACTGATGCAGCTTCTTACCATAGGTACCTATAGCTGTTCTAAATAGGATTGAGCTGTTTTATAGGATTGTGGTTTGATGATTCGATTGGTAGTTACAAACAGGAATATAATTTAATATTATTTATATAATAAGGAATCTAATTAGTTTAAATGTTCTTTCGCTTTGTCTCGTCAAAAACTGAATATAGCACATTTGCGTGTATGGGTGAGCCTAGCTTTGGCACTAATAGGTCGGCTCGCTCGAAGTAATACCATCTCCTCACTGAAAACCGGCGTGAAAAACCACAGTGTATTTTCGCCGTGTAGATGAGGTTACCGGAGGCCCAATCCTTACCCTCCTCCTATCCTTCCTTAATCCCCAAATCTCTGAAACCCTAATCCCCAAAACGCCGGCAACGCACTAACGTACCCGTCTAATGTTGCGGGTGTTCATTGGCGGCGCCGATTGCATAGCATCAAGTAAAACGTAAGATCTAGATCTAGATTTTTTTATTATGTCCAAGGTTATAGCAGCTAGCGGAGGTAGCAGTAAAGAATTTTATAAGACTTAATACTTGAGTAGCTCTCAGCACTCCATTGTTATAAAATATAGTAACGACACATGTATAGAGTAGATACTTACCTACTGACTTTGTATATGAGAAGTGAAGATGACAACTCTCAACAATTACTTACTCAGTCTGCTTATAGCGGCTCTAGGCTGGGGACGAGGTATTAATGCGCTTGACACGTAACCTTGGCTGAACAACATGCCTAGAGAGACCTAGGCATTTGTAGTGGTCTGTTTGCTCTCTGAAGCGGTCTTGATACGTTACATGCCGTACGCTTGGGCCTGGTTCTGGTCGGACGAGGACAAGCTACTCTTACTCGTCTGCATACCCAATACTGTCTGCAGGCCCAGGAAGGAACACTGGTAACCACTGGTATAGACCTCTGGTTAACTTGGAGCGGACCAATCAGAGCTCTGATCGTCACAAACAATTAGGTTACTGTACAGTTAACTCGCACTAGGTATTGTAACTTTGTACTCAGAAGGGGCTCTAATAAGGTACCGCGGCCTCGGCCTAGAGCTGGAGAAGGAACGTGGGATTTGAAGTCAGGAAGAGTCCGACATTCCCTCTCGCCTCACCCTGGAAGAAGTCATTTGGTGATTTTCCCCAAAAAAGGCTCTGACTTTATTTAAATGAATCTATATATACCTATATATAAATGAATCGCAAAATATGTTGCGCCTGTGCGTTGTAACGCCTGGACCAATTTTACTGATTCTTTTTTTGTTATGTGTTATTGTCAGGAAAAGGTTCTTATGCAAGAAAATTTTAGAAAAGTAGAGGGCAAAGTTGGGTAATAGGGTCCCTTTTCTCGTAAGAGAGATGATGAGGCCCGTTACAAATAAATACCATAGATTATTGAAAAAAAGGAGGCAGGTTTGGCCTGGTACTGCGGGCTAAGCTGCTGGCTGAAGGTAGTTACAATATAATCTTTTATCTACTTACAGCCTACTTGATAAGGTTACCTAAGTGATCTTCAAACATTTTTATTCTCTTTGAACGGAAAGTGTTCCTAAGTAATCATGTCGATAGGTCCACGATCGATAAAATAGGGCTGTATCTTAAAAGTTATTCACCAAATGGTCCGTTTAACACTGACAACTCTTACAACCGGTTTCCGAAAGGCCGATCAATGTTTAAATGAATTTAATCTCTTGTCAAGTCATCTGATTGGTTGACTGAATTATCAACAACCAATCGGATGACTTGACAAGAGATTTAACAGGAAATTAGTTAATTTTAGCGTTGACAAGCCTTTCAGAAACCGGGTGTCAGTGTTATGAAAATGTTATTAGCTTGTCACTTTTTTCATAATTACTACCTACATTTTCTTTGACTAGTTTAGGTATAGTAAACTCTGCTGAGGACTATAGAAAGATGAGACTCATGTTTTAAAGAAGTGTATGTTCACTACTGAAAAGCTAAACTAATATCCCTATTTTGTGTATCAGTTGGTTTAGTAAATGGTTTTGTATATCTATACCAACCAACACTTAAAATCACAGGTTATTGCTTATCACAACACATAATTAGTCTACAAGTTTTAAGTGTGGGTGAGCCATGCTTCTGCACGAATGGATCGGCTCGACCGGAGTGATAGGCTCGCAGAAAACCGGCGTGAAATAGGTAACCAATGAGTTGTGTTGACCGTGTGAGTGAGGTTACCGGAGGCCGGATCCATCTCCTACCCCAATCCGTTCCCTTTCCCAAAATCTCCAAATCCTTAATCCCCAAAAGGTCGACAACGCACTCGTAACTCCTCCGTCGTTGCGGGTGACCATGGGCGACGCTGATTGCTTGCTCGTTTGCCGACCTATCACATAAAAAAGTACCCACTGCTGAGCAAAGGCCTATTTCCACACGAAGAAGTTTTGAGGAATACTCACCAAGGTTGCTCAAGTCGCATTAGCGATTTCAAACTTATTAATGTAAATTATAAGTCAAGGTGTCTTCACATCGTCAGCGACATTTTAATAAACCTAGAAAATACCAAAACCTACTAAAGGTGTATAGCTCCATCCCCCTATGTCGCCCGGAAGATTTACGCTTTAGCACGTCATGGTAGGCCCACTGATCTCGCACCCTCATGCTTGAGAAACGACTGTCTAAATCTGCGAACTGTCACAACATATTTTTGTTTATTTATGTAAGTATATCCTTTATTGTATCGAGCTTCACTGCCAGAATAATAACACAAACTCCTCCAAATAAGTATATTCTATTATTGACGAATAATAACAATTACGAGGGAAGATTTCCTTTTGTTGTGTGGACTAAACATGGAGCGTGAATAAACATTTGTGTTGATACACAATGCTACCATTTGGCGGGAAGCCAACGACGCTGTGCACTTCCATAGAGTATCTATATACTTACTTGTTTAGAAAAATATTGGTGTCTATGGTCACTTGTGTTCTAGGTGTAGAGAAAATATGTAAGATTATGACCAACTTTATATCGATGAAAAAGTCTGGGCCTGGAGTGCAGATTTCTAAACAAAATGAATACAATTTCCGAGGTATTCCTCGTAGCGCTCCCGTTTTGAAACGCTCCCATCTAAGCGCTCCCGTTTTATTCCTCTAAGCGCTCCCAAAAGAAGCGCTTCGAGGAATGATTAAAAATATTAAAATTTATTTCCTCGAAGCGCTCCCACGTTTAAAAATAGGGAAAAGCATGAAGTAAACGTAATGAATTATAACGATAATTTTTAAAAACTCATGTGTGCCTCATCGACATCGATGTTGCTTAACCAAATTACGAAATCGAGAGAATAATATATTTTTGCTTTTGGCACTCGTATGTGTATACAAGGACCAATGTTATTGTGTATTCAAAGAAGATGTTATAAATAAGACGCATAGATATACTTAATATAAATTATATACGTATATATTATTCTCTCGATTTCGTAATTTGGTTAAGCAACATCGATGTCGATGAGGCACACATGAGTTTTTAAAAATTATCGATATAATTCATTACGTTTACTTCATGCTTTTCCCTATTTTTAAACGTGGGAGCGCTTCGAGGAAATAAATTTTAATATTTTTAATCATTCCTCGAAGCGCTCCTTTTGGAAGCGCTTAGAGGAATAAAACGGGAGCGCTTAGATGGGAGCGTTTCAAAACGGGAGCGCTACGAGGAATACCTCCAATTTCCCGCCGTTTTTACTTAATTGATTTTAAATTATTCAATCTGTCTAGTTAGTCTCTTGCAGCCATCACCTAGAATTCTAGAGCTAACTTCCCTTTATTATTTCTTTTGCAATTCTAGGAATTAAAGATTGACTGAGCAAAAGATTGAAAATATATTTATCGATTTTTTTTAATCGATTTATGAATCCGATGTACTTGTATAAATACAGCTCCGAAAGTTTGTTAGGATTCATTTTATTAGGAACACCGCATAACAATCTGTAAACAATATGTCCTTGAAATAATAATTCCTACTCATCTAAACACAAGAAAAAAACAGAGAGCGCAAAAATACCATAAAATAAAAGAATTAAAGGTGCGCAAACAAGAAAAATTAACATCGACAAATCCTCTAAATATTTCATGCGATTTATTTTGTTTATGGCGAACAAAAGAGAATTTATTTCGGTTATTTTTAAAAGGAGATTTACTCAAACGGATGGATACTATCATGAGGATGAATAGGGTTTAAGTATGATGTATAATTAGGTATATTTACCGACTACTCGTACCTAAGCGTAGAATAGTTGACATAAATATTTCAGTGTGAAATGATT